ATAAGGATAGAATATTGCTTTAAGAACACGGCTGACAGTTCGTCGAAATTGCTGATCGAACCCGGCTCTAATTGGGTGAACCACATTAGAGCTTGGCCACATAGATTCTCCGAAAACAGCTTGCAATAGCCTGCATCCTCATCAGCTTCATCCAACTCGACTCTTCCTGCTGCGATCAGAAAGGCTGCAAGATAGCTTTTTGGATCCTCCAATCCGCTGTAAGGGTCCAACTTGAGCTTCCGGGAATCTTTGATCCTCAAACTTGCAATTCGCGGGATAAAAGGGGTTCGCCTTGCTTCTTCAATGACTCGATTGATGTCTGGCTCCGAACTTGTAGCCTGATGAAATTTTGATTTCATTTCTTTTAATTCCTGGCTAACCTTCTTCATGGTCTCGAACTGGTCGAGGTTCTCCTGCTCGTACTGAGCTGCAAGTTGTTCTTCATCCCCGAGCGGCGTCTCTTCTTCCGACGTCTGAGCTATATTATTTGTAGCACCGGGAGTTGTTTGTCCGCTGGTTTCATTTCGTGCAGCGGAACTTGGCGAGTTGAATATCCCTCTTCGGGTTCCCACCGGGTTTCCTGCACTTAAAGAGCAAACACGAGTTTGTATATTATTGACGTTTTGGCTAAGAGATACCTGGGATGTTTGCAACGTATCGACGGCCTTCTCCACATCCGAGAACTTTTGTGATATGTCCGACATGGTTTGCTGCATAGCTTTGAGGGTGTCGGCCAATGATGTTTCAACGGCGTCTCCTCCGGACATTGTCGCTTATCTCGGAAATGTAGGAAAGAAAAAATCTGACCACTCAAGAATCCTGATTTCCCCACAGACGGCGCCAAAATGTGGAAGTCGGATTCGCACACTCAAGTATTTCGTTAAGTGGGAAAGATTATTCTTGAGGGACAAAAAATGAATACGTAAGAACTTGTAAATTGATACGAAAACTGCTATAGTATTTTTCTCTTCAGAGGAAGTCCCCCTTACATGGCCCTTGGCCTCTATATTTATACACAAATAAACGACATTAAAATGAATAATTAAGCACAATTATTTCTTCTTAAATGTGTCCGTTTTGATTCTTCGGCTTTAATGCTCAACGTTTGAATTTGGGTTGACTCCGATCTTCATGGGCCTCGCCTCTTTTGGCCCAACTGTCCTTGAACCGACTTACCCTTGCCTTTTTCATCGAACCCGTGCCACAATGCAGTCACTTCGGATTCTCGAAATGGTAACAACCATTTTCGAACATCCCTTCGGCTCACGGGTCCAATGGGCTGCATCTTTTATGGGCCATTACCCTGATTACGTGGCAATCTTTGGTTGGTCTCGTACTTCTGGTGCGGGATCCGACACCAACATTAGTTTCATAGTCGGATGGTGTTACCATTTTCCCCGATATGTCCTATTGAATATTTATCAATAACAAAATCAGTCCACTTGTTATAATCGCAATCTTTATTATTAGCGTCTATAGTCGGTTCTAAGATATTCTTCCCATCCACTTGATCCGTCATTGTCCTCGTCATCTTCATCGACGTTTTCGTCGTCCTCCTCATCCCCATCCTCCTCTTTTTTGTCATTTTATCATTCTTTTCAACATCTTTATTGTCATCTACTTCTTCTTTCTCGTCTACGTTCTTATTGTTTTTTTCACATTTGGAGCCTCCGATATGGTTTTTGTTGTGTTTTCACCTCTAACCAATGATTGGTTTCATCAATGTTGGCTTTCTACATTCAAACACTATTTACACCTTTCTCGAAGTGTTGGTTAAAAGGACACAAATATATTTACACTTGAATCTCCACTAAGAATAAAATAAAATGTATCCAACCTCATTTGATTGTCAATGTAGACATAGGAGCGTTTATGTTCAATCATCATCGACATTATTACCAGTATCCAGTAATTAATTTTTGGATGAAATTTAGTAGACTTCAAGCTAAACACCACACATAACGTACACGTCAGATTCATGTACGTCATATTTTCTTTAACACGTACATATCTACCATACTTTTCTTCCTCAACTAAAAAATCCATCGTCGCCCTGATGATCATCATACCCATCACCATCTTCGGTGTCCTCCTCCTCTTCATCCTCATCTGTTTTATCTTTTTGTACGTCGTCTTGTTCATCTATGGCCTCATTATTTGCATCCACATTTGAAGCCGCTAAGATAGGATTTGGTGTCTTTGCACTCCCACACACACGGTCACTTTCAGCATCGTCACCATCAGTCCTAGGGACATTATTCCCGAGTGCCTTGACGGTTGTAATGAAAGAGACAAACAAGTTGACACTAGGATCCCCACCACGAATCAAAAAGAACGTATCCAGGCTCATTTAATTGTCAATGTAGAAAGGAGGGCGTTTACTTTTGATCATCACTGACATCTTTCCCGGCATCCAGTAACTAATTATTGGATTGCATTCGATGGACTTCAAACTGAAAACCTCGCATAATGTACGTACAAATTCCGTGTACGTCATGTTTTCCTTAACACGTACACAACGACCAAACCAGCCTTCCCATGGTTCAAATTTCCATTCTTCTTCTTTGCATCTCCACTTACCCACCATAGTAAATACGGGAATATCCATTACCCACCTGCATCATAAATTCAGCAGAACCCCATTAAATGAAAATGAAAGCATGATTATATCTACAAAAAACAAAAAGAATTCCCAACTACACACTTATATACATAAATCTATCCTCATTTAGCATTTTCAACTAAAAAAATTGGAAATAAAAATATTCTGGGTTTTTATATAAAAACAATGTTGATTTCGAACACAACAAGACCCTAGTGTGTTATAACAAAAAACTTTTTAACCAATTTCATTACTTACACGATCAATGCTTGTCTTGGCTCCAAACTTTGTAAATCAAGAAGATCAAAACTTCTCCAGCATCACATTCGTTCAGACTAATTTGTTTGTTTGATGGATCATGTTTATCTCTTACAACTATTCACACATATAAACTAATATTAGAAAAAGTAATGATGACTTTTGCATTAATTGTGACATGAGTCATGTCTAAACTTTTTGGGCATTAAATTCTCTTGTCTCATTGTTTTTTAATGTTATTAATCCCTATTTTTCACTGTATAGCCCCAGAAATCAATTAAAAACGAAAATATATTGCCTAACCGGAACAGTGTACGTAACTGAACCGCATAACTGAACCGTACAGTGAACAGTACATCGTTACGCTGGCAGGGGTAAAATGGTCAGATTTTGGCTAAATTGTCAAAACTTGAAAACTAATTCTCACTTTGCCAAAACATGAAATTAAAACATGGTCTTATGCCCTGCTATGCAATTTACCCAATAATATTTGACATGACAACAAAATTTTTATAGTTTCGATAATACTCATTGTTTATGATTCTTACTGAAACGCCAATAGGTTTTTCATAAAAGTATGGTAATGGTGGTTTCGTAATTCTGGGTGCAACAAAAGCTCCACGTGGTAATCGAAGAGTCGTCGATCACGTGCAAATCCTCCACACGTGTTAAGTCAGCTCGTAGCTGATTCTTCCCCCTTGACGGTCTTCACATCGGACGGTTGAGATCATCCTACTTTAAGTGTATTACACGGAAAAGGGAAATGTAGCGCGAGAAAGTCAACAGATCTAACGGTACATATGAAATGAAAGTCAGATGATCGTACGGTAGAAATGAAGCTATATATATAGCAATAACTGGATTATTATTATCACCATCACTCTCTGAGATCGAAGAGAAGAGAAAGAAGAACTCCATTGATGAAATCTCTATTGATGAGAACCGGTTCGATGCCGGTTCTTCAAAACCGGTTTATTTCAGGTGGTTCTTCACGGAAGATGACACCTATCTCCAGGAACAACTCCGTCGAATCATTATCAAGCTACGGCGAGAGATTCACCGGCGGGAAGATCTCCATCGAGGTTAAGGCTAATGTCGGGATGCGGAGGGTTTTATCGGAAAGTGATGTGATTAGATCTGAGAGAATGTTGAAAAGTGTTGGATCTAAGCCTTCACCGGCGAAAATCCCGGAGGATGATGAAGCTGAGGAGGAAGAAATAAGGTTTGGAGATGGTTGGGGGTCTTTGATCTCCGGTGGTTTACCTGTGGAGGAGAAAGGATTCTCCGGTGGTGGTTGTGGTGGTGGATCTGGTTTTAGCGGCGGTTATGGAAACGGAGGAGGCGGTTATGAAGATAAGAGCAAGATCGGTGATTATTATCGAGAGATGTTGAAATCAAATCCTAATAATTCGCTTCTTTTGATGAATTACGGAAAGTTTTTGTACGAGGTTAGTGATTTTTAGAAGCTGAACTTGAGTTTTGTGAAATGGAGATTAGGTTTTTGATTATTGAATTTGGGATTTGAATCTTCAGGTGGAGAAAGATGCTGAGAGAGCTGAAGAGTATTATGGAAGAGCAATACTGGAGAATCCAGGAGATGGAGAAGCTTTGTCCATGTATGGAAGATTGATATGGGAAACGAAGAAAGATGAGAAGAGAGCTCAAGGTTACTTTGATCAAGCTGTTAATGCTTCTCCTAATGATTGGTAAAATTTGTATTCTTTTGATTACTTTTACTAATCCGAAATTTGATTTTCTTTACTTGAATCTAAATGTTTGTGTTGTTGTAACTTTGTAGTATGGTTTTGGGATCGTATGCACATTTCATGTGGGAGGCAGAGGATGATGATGATGATGAAGAAGAGTTAATGGCTGCATCACCAGTCATGATTTCTGCAGTTTAGACGAAGATGAAGATGGAGATGATGAAAAAGGAGTAATGGAGTCTAAATTAAGATTATGTACCAAGTATCGATCTTTAGTGTATTTCACTGTTGTATTTTACTAACTTTTTTGTTGGTTTAACCTGAAGAGTAATGAACATGTATGTTGAAGAAAACGAATGTAACCTTATTATAAGAGAATAAAAGTGCTTTTGTAAAGCTTTGTATAGTTTAGAATCAGAATTTTGAAATTAAAGTGGATAATTCGTTGATTATAAGAAAAAAGAACAAGTCTTTTATGATCATCACAATCAAAAGAAACTACTAAGAACCAAACTAAACAAGATTGAATTTGAAACCTACTTAACATGTCTCTCTCTCTATTTATCTAAAACCAAAGCTAAATTTAAGAGAAATAAGAAGGAGAAGAAGATGAGAGAGTAAGAAAGCTCAATCTACTTTATAGATATAATTCTGATGGAGAGATGTGTCAAAAGGAACAGAGAAGCAAACCCGGTCAATCTTGACCCATGAACCATCTGTTTATTGAGGACTGCTGCCAGGCCAGAGATGGTACATCTGCATAGGAATTTGGTGAAGCGGTTGAGGTGTAGCGTTTCCAAATAGCCCATGATTGTTGTTGTTGTTGTTGCTGTTGTTATTGTTGTTGTTGGTACCACGGTGCAACGGAGAATTACTTTCGTTTTCCTCTGATGACTCGCTTGAGTGTTGTTGTCCTTGAGATCGAGGGCTTCCGGGTCCACCACCACCACCACCAAAGCTCAACATATTGGCTGGAGCTGAAGCTGGCTCAGGGGTATTCTGAGCACGCCCTGCGCTTTGTTTCTGCTTCCTTCCATCTGGGACAAAGCTTCCCACAATGACCTATATAAAAACCCGAATCAAAGTCAGTATCTTGAACACTTTCTGATTTTAACTTGAGTGTAAAGGTTAAGAATTTGACCAACCTGGACTTGTGATCCAGCTACTAGCATTCCAGCAACACTTCCACCCACAATCCCGCCATCTTGTCCAGCCAGCGACACACTCAAGTTACCAGTTTTGGTCACAGTACCATTACTCTCAGAATTCAAAAAAGAACCTGACAGAGAAATGATTTCAAATCGGCCCTGCAACAACAACACATCCAATACAGCTCAATACAAGATTCAAATTCCAGCTCCCTTCGATAACAACATTGCTCAAATGGGGCCATGAAGCAAGCAATGCACAAAGAACATGAGTAATTTATACCTCATATTTAACAATTCCACTAGGATTGGTAGCTTGACGAAGTTTCACATTAGTTACAGCTCCTGTAGCTGAGAGAATACAGATTGCGCGTGGCCCTTGGTTCGTAAACGCCATTACCTTCGTAGCTATGTCCTGAATAGAATGAAAGATCATAACTTAAACCAAAGAAACAAGCAAAATTACTCAAAATAAAAACAAACTCAAGATTAAAGAGTTCCTACAACAACACATTACCTCTCCTGTTTTAACCTCAATGACATGAGGTGTGAACCCAACTCCTCCTGTTCCTCCTGCTCAAACACACACACACACACAAGACAAAACCCATTAAGTAGAATTGCAAACAGTGAATTTGATTTGATCAGAGAGAGAGAGAGAGAGAGATAGATCCTGTACCTAAAGCGTCAAGCTGCTTCTTACCGGAGCCAGGAGGACGTCCTCTGTTCCGTTTAGCAGGTGGATCGGAAGAGTTCGCATTAGCTCCGCCGCTATCACCACCAGTACCACCACCTTCATTTCCACCACCGTATGAATTAGAAGCTGTAGGAAGAGGCGAAGTAGGAGCCAAACCAAGAGCAATGTTACTACCACCACCATCAGCAGCATACTTCCTAGGTCTACCTCGTTTCTTCTTCACCTGTTGATGGTCGATCCCAAATCTCATCGACTGTTGTTGAGTCGTCGCGGCAACAGAAGAAGGCGATCCATCAAATCCAAGAGATTCAAGAGTCTTCTGATCTATCTGTTGCTGAGGCTGAGGATGATGATACTGATGTTGTTGAGGCTGATGCGGTGACATAGAACCAAAAGGTAATCGCTGATGCATAGCTTGAGATGTGGAGGTGTTGTGACCCATTAACACGGCGGCGGCGGCGGCGTTAGGGTTTCGATTGTAGGAATTGTGGTGACTCATTAACATCCCTGGCGGTGGTTGTTGTTGTAGATGTTGTTGCTGCTGTTGCTGCTGTTGTTGTTGTTGCTGCTGTTGTTGGTGGTGGATTTCTCTGGAATCCATTGAAGGAGGAGGAGAAAAGTATCAATCTTTATTGAAGATTTGTGATTTTAGGGTAATTTTCTTGGAGACCCACTTTTCTGTTTTACGAATGCCGAGAAAATAGACGAGAAAGTGCAGGTTTTTGAGTTTTAAGCGAAAGCGTGTGAGCTAGCTAACAACTCTCTCTCTCTCTCTTCTTGAGTTCTTCATCAGAAGAAGGGACGATCTAGTTAGTGTCTATTTCTTTTTTAAAAAAGATTTAATTTATAAATAAAAGAATAAATTGAGGAAACAAATCTTTGGTTTAGGGTTTTCAGTTTTCAGGAGATTTGGTTTTTTTTTTTAATTTATTTATTTCATTTTAATAAATCTAAAGATATAATTTACTTAAGGTTTTGTTAAAATGTGAATGAATGCAATTAGGAGGAGAGTCTTTAATAAGTCCATTTATAGTTTCTAGTTGTAATGTAATGTACTCTTTGAGGTTCTCCTTTAACTCTAGTTCTGTTTTAATAAATGTTTTTCAATTTATTTTTTGGTTTTTTCACATAATTTTTCATTGTTGCATTGAATGAACCGAGTTTTGTTATTGGAAGTGAAAATTAAACCGGAATGAGACATTGAATTAGAGAGAGGGACTCAAACTCTCAGAAGTGAGTACTAGAAAAGTAACAAAAAATTCTAAAATGAAAACAAATGCACAAGAATTAATAAGAGAATAATATATGTAAAACTAAAGATCTTGGTTTGACTGTGTTTGGGAAATCCAAATAAACATGGGTTTTGTACTTTGATGTGTCAGATTTTTTTCTTAAGTATATCCTCAGATCTTAAAAACAATCACTAGTTTGAAAATGACAGCAGCTTATTTTGACCATTTTGTCCTTCTATTGCCTCATCTTTTTAAGAAAAATCTATTCAGAATACTGTTCTATATAGATTCCAAATTAAATTGACAAACTCAAGTTACTAATTTTTAATGCTACTATGTCACATAGAGAAAGACCCACTGGAGTTTGAATAGAATGAAACAAACAAATACTGTATTTAATACAAGCAACTTTAGATAAAAGGAACAAAAGTGTATTTAAATGTCATATTGAAATGAATTCAGTGTTATTTATATCCATCCACTCTTCTCCCATACTTGTTCACGAGATAATGGAAGTTACCGGTTTGGTTTTTTGTACCCTGGTTTAATCCAAAGGACAAAAAAAAAAAAGGATGTGATGTGTATCTGGTTTTGTTGGGGATGATGATAATCAATGTGAAAGTACTAAACTTTTATGTATAGGTAGCGACTAAAGTGATTGACTTTACTAGACCAACAAGCAATAAAAGCAAATGTTATCAAATAGTTTAAGCCATGCGCGTACCTTAAGAAACCGGACACGTAAAACCAGATGCTGTGAAGAATTGGTACCTGAAATTAGAAATATGTTTGAGACAGATAACGAATGTCTTTTTTTTGTTTTTTGAAGTACTTAAGATTTATCAGACGATTCTGCAAATACATAATAAGAGTTGAGTTTTTAATTGAAAACACTCGAGGAAACTAAAGGGAAGATTGACCAAAAGTAAGAATTACTGGTCAGGTGGGCTTTTATTAATGGGCTTAGTTCTCTATAATGTAGCCCACTAGTAAATAAAAATTTACCGCCAGTTAATGAAGGAGATGGGTTTAGATTTGGAAAGTAGAAAAATGAGCAAAGTAAGAAGAAGAAGATTCTCTTTGATCCACTTTCCTCCATTGTCGTCGCATAGAGTGGAGATTTTCGGATTCAGTTTATGAAGTAGAGAATTGGGTCTAAGGATTCAGTTTTATAAACCCTAAAAGTATATGTTTCTGATTAACTTATAAAAAGATCATTTTTTTTTCTAAGGATTGGAATGGGGTTTTTCAAGAAATTGGCTGGTGTGTTTGGATTTGGCCAGGAAGTGTTGAAAAATGAGGAAGATGATATTAATGTTTCCGGTGACGGAGATAATCAGACGAGATTTCGTGAAACTGGATTACCAAGGAAAGGATTTGGAGTTCCGGTTCAAGTTGCTGTCGAAAGGTCTCAACTTGGTCCTCTTCTTCAGCCTTGCGCCAATGGAGACGGTGGTATTCAGGTTTGAATGTTCCCGTTCTGGAACGGTTGATATAGTGGTTGATTGCTTCATATTGAAGTGTTGATTCTAGTTAGTTAGATTAGCTTACGAAATTTCGAACATTGGCTTTGAGATTGATTAGTAAGTTCCATGTTCATGTTGCCACTAAAGATTCATCGTTCTTTAGTTTTACTTTAGCTGTTTATGATCATGAATCTTGTTCTACATTGTCCTCAGTTTGACTCTCTTAGCATAGTTTACAAAATTGATTTCGATACTCTCTGTTCTTGCTTTAGCATTATTGTCTTTTCTTTGACTTTAGACAATGACTCGGTATCACTTCTGTTTATATTGTTACTCCTGTGGTTCCTCCAGTTAGTTGTTACTTGATTTATAATGTTAGATTGTCTAGCTGTTTAGGTCACTTTGATAAGTCGTGAAATTTCCTTAGTTAAGAGCTTGCATTATCTTCTTGGATATTGGTTCTGTCACAGGCTGTATTATATATAGCTCTCTCTTGAATGAATCAGGGACTAAGATGGTATACGAAACGGCTAAGGGTTGATGAAGATGGAGATGTTGCAGATGAGTTTTTGGAAGAGGGAGAGAAACTGACAAACGCAGAAGATGATCATAACTGTATTAAGACTATCCCAAGACTCCAAATTAAACGCAAAACGAAGCCTGTAAAAGTAAGAGGACTAGTTGTGTCTTCTGATGGGAAACTCCAGCAATGTATTGAACATCATGGAAGGTTATTTATAGTATGAATGATTTTGCAACAGAGAAGGTTAGGACAGGTTTTTGTTTTATCAGAAACTCCGGATTAAATGTGTAAAAAGGGAAGCAAATAGAGTTGCAGACATATTGACGAGAAAGGGCAATGATCAGTTTAGCTTTGTTTGTGTCTTTGAACTATATTCCAATTTGGCTTATCGAGTCTGTACTAACTGATTTGATTCATATGATTTGTTTTTAGTTTTTGATTTTTGGTATAGATTTTGCGGAAAAAAAAATCCATAGAATTGGGGGTTTAGGTAGTTCAACAGCGTGCAAGTAGACACTAGAGCAAATAACAGGGAGAAAATGTCGATCACAAAGGAGCCAGCCAGCCCAAATAAAACAAAAAGAGCAAGGTGAGCAGGTCGAATGTATCCGCAATATTCGTCTTCTTCGGATGAGGGACTAATGGAACAGTGATGTGCTTTTGTCGAAAGGGAGGATTGTATAGGCTTTGGAGAATAGGTCTAGTACAAACACGCCAAAAAAGTCCATGGACCGTGCGAACAATCTCGTTTCAAGTAGCATTTATTTCCATTGGAACCATATGAATCCGGTGCATATAGAGAGATCTAGGAGTTCCCGTTTTGATGGACTTGTTAGACGACCCGTTACTTTTAAAAAAAAAAATGCATTAAGGATCAATGACGATTACTAATAGTATGAATGATTTGGAACACAAGAGAGGTTAGGAAAGGTTTTTATTTCATAAGCAGTTCAAAATGTTGGTATCAAATCATACAATATAAGAAAACATGTTGTAATAAGTATTGAACTAGATTGTGCAGTAAGAATTGGTTTTTGATTCTTGAGCCCAAAAAACTGACTAGCTTTATGATTAGACAATCACACAATTGATTGTGGGATATATTTCACACTTTATTTGCATCTATTGGACTTTGTAATTTGTATTACTAAGAGATCTTTTTTTTGTGTGTATACATAATAATTAGGCCTGGGAATTTGAACCGAACCGAACCGAACCGAGGTTTGGGCAAATCGGTTCGGTTCAACTTAATTGAGTTAAACCGATCGGAAAGATATTAATTTAGGTTCGGTTAACCGAGAATTTCGGTTCTGTTCGCTCGAACCGAACGGTTAACCGAAAAACAAAAACCCTAACCTAATATTAACCCTAGCCGTTCTTCTTCTTCGTTTAGAGCTTTCTATTCTTCTTCTTCTTTCTCTTTTTAGATAGTTTCGTCAATCATCAATCATTCATCATCATCATAATCTTATTCTTCTTCAACTTCTCCTTCTTCTTATGCTTCTTCTTCGATCTATTACCAACATCTTCTTCTTCTTCTTCGATCTATTATCAACAGCTTCTCTTCTTCTTCGATTCATCACCAACAACTTATCATCATCATCATCTTCTTCGCCTTTCAGATCTATACGCCCGCTCCGCCTTTCAGAACTCGCCGCCGGTGTCTCCATTCGTCGGTTCGTCGGCCGTTGGTTGCTTCGTTGAAGACAAAAGCTTATCCTTCTCTTTTTTTTTTTTTTTTTTTTTGTTTCCAATTAAGATAAGCCCAGTTAGTTCAAAAAATAAAAGACAAAGCCCACTTTTAAAAACAGTTTTGGCCCAAAACGATTGAACCGAATAACTGAATTACAAAACCCGAAATAACTGTGTCCCAACCGAACCGAACCGAAATCTTAGTCGGTTAGTTTCGGAACAGCTTTCAAATTCCGAAATAACCGAAAAACCGAGAAACCGAACCCGAATAAACCGACCGGTTCGAATTCCCAGGCCTAATAATAATAGTATGATCATCCTTTTTGGTTTAAGCATGAATCCACCAAGTTTCTTTTTTGATCTTTGTATTGGTAACTTCAGTTTCCTTCAACAATCTTTTTCCTGCCACGTGTGGAGATCTCACATGAGCCACATGGACAACACACGAGAAATCTGAAATCTTAAAAACTCAACAACACGGGAACAGCTGTTCTGTTGCATATAGAAAGATCTATTACCTCTACACACAACACTACAAAGAGAATCGTATCTTAGTTTAATTTCTTGGATTTTCCTGATAGTTGTTATTAATATTCGAATACAAAACTCGATGTCGAACTAAAATTGTCCATATATGAAGTTGAAATCCATAATGTAAAATCTGAATTTATAAAACTAATCAGCCACATATATAGAAGCAAAACACGATCTTTCTTTGAAGATAATTAAATTTATAAACTAATCTCCAACAAAATTCATTTCAATGAGCTGTATATCAACCCACAAGTCGCAACCCGTGTCATCATTAATATTGTTCACGTTTTTATTTTCCTTTTGGCAGAAGATGACGGTTTGAGTTATATTTCGTGAAGGTACATTTTTTAAAAAATCTTTCTTTCAAACCCAAGCTAATTTATTTTCTGTTTTGTTTATTTCGTACTTAACTATTTCAAATGATACAAAACTTAAACTGATCTTACCAAGTAAACGTGGCAAGAATTAATTTTCACAATTTAAAACAAATATATTCTTTTATAATTTTAATTTTTTTCTGTAATATACTGACAGTTCGAGATCTCTTGCTTATTCAATTTGCATTGTGCATTTAGTGGTTTTAGTTTGTTGTTCGAACTCAGTTGATTTTTTATTAGATAGACATATATCGAATAAGTGTTATGTATATATAAAACTTAGATATTATGCAATTTACATGGCGGTTTCATATTTAGGGGGTTAACGTGGCTTTTTAATTCATATAATGTGATTAAACACACACAATTTATAAAAATTAGTTGTCCCCGTGCAAAAAAAAATAGGTATACATGTGTTATGTGTCAACGTTGGTACGACTTTCAAGGATCTAAAAGGTCAACTTTAGTTGAGAGTTGCGACAGTGATAACTTGTTTTTGACTTTCTTACATGCATCCACAACTACACAATATTTCTACAAAACAATTATGCTAAATTGTTTTTGAGTATTTCTATACTTTGAATTGTTTTTGTTTGTTTGTGTGAGTGTTAACGCTAAATTGTAATTGCAAAATATATGTTTAATCTTCTTTTTATTGTTATTGAAAATAGAAATTCGTGCATGGACTTTACATATTTGATCTCTATTTAGCTTAACAGTTAACACAATAACTTATCCTTGGTCCGCCCATAACTAATTCTCATTTGACTCCGCCTTCCCCACCGGAGTTCGACTCCACTAAGTCGCGTTACCCTGCGTAGTAGGGATTGGTTATGGATCGGGCTTTGTCGATCCAAAGTTGTCAAAAAAAAAAAAATAATAATAATAATAATAAGATTCGTACTTTTTTTTTTGTTAGATCATCAATGTCATTAAAAGTGTACGTACCTATATTCTTTAATCTAAGAGAACAACGTATATGACTAAGATCTAGTTTTTGGAACAACCTGTTTAACAATATTAGTACTAATTGGGTGACACATGCATATTCCTAAGGAAAATAATTGGATCTCTAATTTTAAAACTAGTAGCATTATGGAACGTATGTTAGTTTAATATATATCTTTTTCAATAGCTTTTGACTTATTTTTTTTCCATCTATCTTGTGAACAAAAGACATAAAAGTACTCTTTAATTTAATATTAACATCAGTAATTGCAAGTCATGTGAAACCCATCAATCTAATCTTTGCTCACTAGCCAAAAGAGAATATTATTTCTGTATCTATTAAAAGTAATTATGTAAAAGTATACATATAGAGCTCAAAATGTAACACCACGAGATCGTTTTTTTTAAAACTAAGAATGTTGAATAAAACCTCAAATGATATGAACAATTATTAATGCGATAGAATCGTTAAATCGTAAAAATATATTAGAAAGAATAACATCACATGATATTTATCAAAATGATCGTCAAGCGAAACCGTAAAATGGTTAAAAATTTATTTTTAATTTACCTCAAAAATGACAAAACATCAAATTTCACCCTTAATTAATATAATCGCCATTTTAAGTCATACGACACGTAATTTTTTTAATTACCAATCGAACCTAAAAGAGATTCTCGTAGTTCAACCAACACAATCACACGTATTAACTTGTTTTCCTCTAGCCAGATAGTCTACGCATCGCATACGCAAACCATAGATCCATCATCCATATATCACTCTATATATACATAAACATATACACACACACACAAAGAACTATATATAGAGAATACACAACACATTCTATTCTTGTATACTCCTATTACAAAAAAAAAAAAGGAGAGAGAGAGAACCAATTTGTCTCCCTCAAAATGTCCAACAAGGTTCACGTAGGGAGCATTGAGATGGAGGAAGGTTTGAGCAAGACGAAGTGGATGGTTCTAGAACCTTCTGAGAAGATCAAGAGGATACCGAAAAAGCTTTGGAGTGTCGGAAAAGAAGATCCGAGAAGAGTGATACATGCCCTTAAAGTAGGTCTTTCGATGACACTTGTATCTTTGTTATATCTCATGGAGCCTCTCTTCAAAGGCATTGGAAGCAATGCTATTTGGGCCGTCATGACCGTCGTCGTCGTCCTTGAGTTCTCTGCCGGTAAGTTTAACAATATATCTCCTTATATACATACATCTTATAATCAATTATGGTATTGTAATAAATAAGTGCATGTTATTAATTAAGTCATAACGTTTTGTTCAACTTCTTGACTTTTTAGGTGCAACGTTGTGCAAAGGGCTTAATAGAGGATTAGGGACACTAATTGCGGGATCTTTGGCATTTTTCATTGAGTTTGTAGCTAATGATTCCGGCAAAGTCCTTCGAGCTATTTTCATTGGCACTGCTGTTTTTGTCATTGGTATGCAACAATTCACCCGTTTTAATGCATTTCTTATTATTCAAATTGGAGTCTCTAACCGTAAAATGTCTTAAGTTTTAGAGACAACTGTTTATAAAAATCTTTAGGAGTTCACTAATTTATGATCTCATTCTAATGGTTACAGGAGCGGCTGCAACTTATATAAGATTTATACCATACATAAAGAAGAATTACGATTACGGTGTTGTGATATTTCTCTTGACGTTCAATCTTATAACGGTGTCAAGCTATCGAGTAGATAGTGTGATAAACATAGCACACGATAGATTCTACACTATAGCCATTGGTTGCGGAATCTGTCTTTTCATGAGCCTTCTTGTTTTTCCTATATGGTCTGGTGAAGATCTACACAAGACCACCGTTGGTAAACTCCAAGGCCTCTCTCGCTCTATAGAAGGTATGTAATTCCCGAAAATATCATTTTTATGTTTTGTTACAAACTTACAATTAACACCAAAACTTATAATTCCAAAAATAGCACATAATTTATTTGGTATTAATATTTTATAGCATGTGTGAATGAGTACTTTGAGGAGAAAGAGAAAGAAAAAACAGATTCAAAAGACAGAATCTACGAAGGGTATCAAGCTGTTTTGGATTCTAAATCCACTGATGAAACACTTGTAAGTCTTTTTTTATATATAAAACTCCAATTTCAAGATTTTGGTTTTGGTAAAAGATATAAAAATATGAAACTAAAATGAATTTCAGGCATTATATGCAAATTGGGAGCCGAGACACACATTACGTTGTCATAGATTTCCATGTCAACAATATGTTAAAGTTGGAGCTGTGCTTCGTCAATTTGGTTACACTGTTGTTGCTCTTCACGGTTGCTTACAAACTGAGATTCAAGTAAGTCTAATTACATTAATAATGTTATATATGTTTTGTAAATTGAATTAACTTAAACTAATTTTCTTTTTTTTTTGTCTATACTTAAACTAATTTTCTATATATATGTATTTGTTTTTTTTTTCAAGACTCCAAGATCTGTTCGCGCGCTTTTTAAAGACCCTTGTGTAAGATTAGCCGGAGAAGTATGCAAAGCTTTGACGGAACTCGCGGATAGCATCTCAAACCACCGTCACTGTTCACCGGAGATTCTATCCGATCATCTCCACGTGGCACTTCAAGATCTTAATTCCGCCATCAAGTCTCAGCCTAAACTCTTCCTTGGTTCTAATCTCCATCGTAATAAACACCAAAACGGCAGCGTTTCTAGTAACAAACACCAAAACGATACCGTCTCGCAACGCAACAACAGTAATATTGGAAAAGATCTAAACGGCGACGTTTCTCTTCAAAATACCGAAACCGGTACGCGTAAAGTTACAGAAACCGGTGCACGTCAAGGGCAAAACGGAGCCGTTTCGCTTTCGAGCTTTAGGACTGACACGTCAGCTTTAATGGAGTATCGGAGATCGTTCAAGAACAGTAACTCCGAGATGTCGGCGGCGGGAGAGAGGAGGATGTTACGGCCACAGCTGAGCAAAATCGCGGTGATGACGAGTCTCGAATTCTCGGAAGCTTTACCGTTCGCGGCGTTTGCGTCGTTGCTAGTGGAAATGGTGGCGAGACTTGATAATGTAATCGAAGAAGTTGAGGAATTGGGAAGGATCGCATCTTTTAAGGAGTACGATAACACGCGAGATCCGACGGCTGACGATGCCCGATGCGAAAAACCGGCGAATGTTACGATCAGTGTCGGCGCCGCTGAATGAAGCAACGAACGACGGCGAGAAATTAGTTTTTTTTTTAGATTAGACTAAACCGATCGGTATGAGATATCAATGATGCGATTCATTTGGTTCGGTATGATTCGGTTTGTCATTTTCACGATGATGGAAATTAGTAATCGGATGCTTTTCGTGTATTTGTTTTAAGAATTACTAAAAAGAAAATTATTGTTTCTTGAATAAAAAATTCAATAAGTACTGTGTTTCATTGTGTTGTAATGAATTGAGATGCCTTAAGGCCGGTTATTTCTGGTCTGTCAATTTTAATTCTGGAATTTAATCAAAAAACAAAAGAAAAGGAAGGGCCCAACCGGGTTCGAACCGGTGACCTATTGATCTGCAGTCAATTGCTCTACCACTGAGCTATGGACCCAAGTTGATAACCATCAGTGTTCTTAAAGTATATATACATAAAAATGTTGAACAAGTCATTTTCAAGAAGAAGAAATATTCTTGTAAAATTTAAAAAGAATGAAATGTAAAAACCTCACGACGCAGCAACTTGTTTCAAGTCTCTAACAAATGTGAAAATTAATGCAAACTTTTGCGCTTTCATACATCTTTTTTTTTTTTTGAATGTAATTGAAAAATCAAATATCTTTCATACATCTTTAAACAAGTTGCTGCGTCACATTTGCCCCTTTCTACATAGTTTCTGTTTATTCATCTCTACATATTTGTGGATTTATAAAAAAACATGTTTACATAACTTCTGAAATATCAAATGGTCCCGAAACTATTGCTTTTACAGAAATATTGGATTTTTAATATAAATGATTGTTATCACTTCCACAAAAGTTGCTTTATAGATTATAAGTTGGGTAATATTACTAACTAGCCAAATTTGACACATAAATTAAGAAACTAGCAGAAAGAGAAAATTCTGTCGGAAAACAGCATGGACCTACCTTGTCTGAAGAGGTGAAATAACAAAACCATCCTCCGTTTGTTTTGAGATCTACAGTAGGCGACATTGTTTCGTGATATTTTTCAAAATAGCACGTAAGATCTAAATTTCACATGTTATATTTAACTAAAATCAGTGTTCTAAAAAGCGGTCTAGGCGGTCGTCTAGGCCCCGACTAGGCGCTAGGCTCTCATGCGACGCCTAGATAACCGCCTTGACCGCCTAAAATTACATAGAACTTGTTTAATGTATTTTTTCAATTTCAATTAGAGTTTTATTTATATATATAGTTATAAATATTCATATATTGTTTAATATAAATATAAATTAATGTTTTATTTAGTTTTTGTTTATAATTTCATAATTTTTAGTTTTATATAAATATTTTATATAACTTTTATATATAATATCATATTTATAATATTTTATGTTATAAACGTCTAAACCGCCTAAAAAATCGCCTAGGCTCCGATTAGGCGTTCTAGGCGCTAGGCACTGGGTCACCGCCCGCTTAGCGCCTAGCGCTTTCTTGAACACTGACTAAAATACATGCTATTTAAAAAAACGTAGTGAATTTTTAAGAAAAAACATTGTTACATAGTGTTTTTTTAAAAAAAACATTGTTATGGAAAAATTAAACTTGAATAGAATCTTTTTATAAAGAAATAACATGTGATCTTAATAAAAACCGTGAATTACTAGAAAATAAGAATCGTTTTTTAAATAAATTACATGTGATCTTAATAAAAACCGTGAATTACTAGAAAATAAGAATCGTTTTTTAAATAAATTACATGTGATCATAATAAAAAACGTGTATTACTACAAAATAACATGATAGCGAAAGATATTAAACTGAATAGATTGTTTTTCAAAGAAATAACATGTGATCTTAATAAAAACCGTGAATTACTAGAAAATAAGAATCTTTTTTTAAAGAAAATCACATCTGATCATAATAAAAAACGTGTATTACTATAAAATAACATGATAGAGAAAGATATTAAACTGAATAGAGTGTTTTTTCAAAAAATATCATGTGCTCTTTATAAATAACGTGTAAAACCGGAAAATAATATGATAAAAAGAGATATATTATTCTATCACATGTAATTCGAGAAAAAAACATGTTATAAAGGGCATGTGTGTAATTACACGTGCTTTCCGACATCCAACAGACAAAGTACTGTAGCTCATGGCTATTTTCTTAATTCTTTTTGAATTCATGGCTATTTACTATAAATTCTCTTATAAGTTTGGTCCAATTAATGATTGAGAGAAAAATGATTTGATTCTCTTTGCATATATCATATATCAAAGGCATCCAAAAGTTAAAATAAGACTCTATAATAACGCAAATAATCCTATTAAAAATATAAATAAGGAATTTATAATACTCATTCCTTATAGTACTAGCAAACAATATACTTAGTAAAATTTAAAATGAAAACCAAAACTAAGATAATTAAATTCTCAAAATAAAATGATAGACGTTCACAACTCTTCTTCTACCATGTTCCAAGACACCAACGTTAAAAGGCGTTATTGTCTTAAGAAAGAACCAACATAGAACCAACATTTCTTGTAGGCTTGTAGCTAAAAAAGGTTTGCGTAATCAAAAGAACCGGTTTGGTCATTTTCATAATTTGTCCAATAACCGGTTTGCATCGATTGATCAATGTCATGGTCCACGTTAAAATAAGAAGAACTCGCCGGAAATTCCACATGGTGGTTTGCCGTGGTGACCGGAAAATTGTAGTTGGGAAAATATTCGGAAGCAACCTCCTGAATCTGAGGATAATCCTACATTTAAATATCACAAAAAAAATAAAAAATCAAACCATTGTTGTGTATACAAAATTGCGTTGGTTGAGATAGGATTAGGTACCTTTGAAGAATCAAGGATGAAATCAGGAGAAATCCAAATGCTAGAGGAGTCGTTTTCAGTAGAAGAAGGCTTGAACGATTGAAACTGCGACGTTTCGTCGCGACAAGGAGAGTTCGTGAGGCTAGAGTAACCAGAACCAATGTCTTGTTCGTTTTTATTTTTCAAACTTTTCAAATTGGTCTTCAGTTCATTCTTCTTAACTACGCGACATAACACGAAAGCTCCCTAAAAATTCCACATATATATGGTTCTTAGGCTTCTTTCCATTAATTCATAGAAATGAATATATATTAGGAAGTTGGATTAAATGAAACAAACTATAGTTTCTTACCTTGACATTTGGTGATTTTTGTGAATGATCATCATCGCATAGACGATATTCATGCATAAACCAATTAGTCCTGTCGCCTAATGGGGCACGGCCTTCATAGAAAACTAAGGTTTTCCGGTATCCAGTTATAACATGCGACGATTTACAAGTGATTTTCCGGTCTTTACCGGTTGCTTTCCAATAACCTGCTTTTGTAGCCCTATTGGTTCGAGAACCGTTTGCATACTTTTTGTCTCTTGGACAAAAAAAGAACCATTCCAAATCTCTGTTCGGAAGGAAAGATTTATCTAAAAAAACAAAGACAAAATTAAATAAGTTTAGTTTTATTTATATTTAAAATGATAGATAAAAATCCAACCGTTTTCTTTTTTAAATTACCTGGCAACTCACAAGGATCAAATTTGTATAAGTCGATAACAGGAATGACTTCAAGCTCAATCTCAAGACCTTCTACTTTTCTACTCAAGTAGTAGCCTATGAGCTCTTCATCAGTTGGATGAAATCTAAATCCTGGAGGCAAACATGAACTTCCCATTTGCGTAATTAATCCACACTTGTTGCTTGCAACACGAGAATTTTCGAGAGCAAATAGTTAACTAAGTACCGAAACTAAATCTATTGACTATTTGAAAAACACAAAAATATGAACTTTGTTCGATACTCAATTTGTTCTTGAAAATAAGTTGCAACTCACTTTGATTGCATCCTTTTTGTGACAAGATCATTGTCTGAAAGAGATCGTATGATTACAAAAAAAAATCAACCCGAATTGTCTAAAATTCCTTTTTTGAAAATATATTTAACTCGTTAAGAAGAAAAAAAACACAAAATTAAGGTGAAAATTTTACAATAAGGAAGAGTAGTATGGTGTAAGAGCTAATTGCTGCGGGTCAAAGACTCTGACCAAGGAAAAGGGTTCTTTGACTTTAAAATTGGATATTAACTATATAAGAAGACAAAGTGATTAATGAGTAATTAATTAGGAGAGTGATTAAGAGAAGAGAAGAAGAAAAGGTTGGTAGAGTGTTGAATGGTTGTGGGGTGATTGATATTTATAGCACAAAGGTTTGCGAAACTTGGCGAGTGAAATTTAATCATAGCTTTAAATATGTTGGTGAAAAAATATGTCGAATAAAATATTATACACTATTACTAGATTTTAACCCGCGGTACACCGCTGGATGATTTAATTTTAAAGTTAATATAAAAATATTTTGTAAATTGTATCTCCTTATAACATATTTATTTATATTATAGTTTACAATTGTTATTAAGTAACGGTATACCACGAGTTCACGAGACAATTTTTAATAAACTGATGATTTAACCCCTATTAAAGCGGTATATAAATATTGATTCAAATTCGTCCGCCATATAAATCCTTTCCGAAATATAACCCGTACCGTAATTTCTTAACCCGTCCCGTGATTTGTTTTTATTTTAAAATTTAATGATTATTTCTTATATATAAAAGTTTACAAATCATATCATTCTCTAAGAGATGTATATTTTAATAAACTAAAGATTTAGTATGTATTAAAGCGGCATGTTAATGATATTTTAAAATTTTATAAATATTGTTGTTAAGTAACATTATATCACGGGACAATTTTTGGTTTTATACAATCTTTTCTAAATGAGACTGATTTAATATGTCTAATATTTGTGGTATTAAAAAAAAGGATTTAATCCGTATTGAAGCGGCGGATTAATGATATTTTAATCTTTTTATTATTGTTGATTCAAAAACCTGTCACGCCAAACCCGTCTGGCCAAAAAACTCATTTATTTTATTTATGTTCTTATTTATGATATGATTCTGAATCATTATCTAAATATTTTAATCGATGTAGAACGTTGAACACACATTTTCGTCAATTGGATAATATATATCCGTTTTTAAAATTTTGAATCACAGTATATGCAGAAAATTAAAAATTTTTGTATTATATGATGATTCAAAATATTTAATAATAAATCAAACAAAGATGATAGGAGAATCATAATTATAAATCTTAATCAAATCTTCTAAATATCTAAATTATTAAATATAGAATATCCGGTGTATGAGTTGGGTTAAATATAACCCGACCCAACAAATTTTTTGTGAAGGAATTTAAAAAACGGGTCGGATATCCGATTAACCCAAAAGCATTTTTACCCATCCGTCACCAAAGTGTTGCAAAAATAATAATAGTGCCGTTAATATTCAGAAGAAAAAATAACTCGACACACCGAAAGCGGATAAAGACATTGCTTGTCTGAAGAGTTCCCAAAATTCCAAAAGAAAGTGGACCTACCTGGTTTCAAAAGCTAGAGTTGTTCACACTTCACAGTTCACACATCAATGATTCAGTAATACTATATATCACCTATAATTAATCAAAACTTATTTTTCTAATTTTCAACTTCATAATACTTCGTTTCGTTTTGTTATACAATATGTTTATTTGCATGTCATTCTTGTATATCGGGTTAGTACACCTTGTTCAAAAAATAAGAGAGGGAGATGAATTTTAATTTACAAGTTTCTTATGTTTTTTCTCGTTCCTTTGATATAAGTATATAACAGGAATTTAGTTCTAGGTCCTAATTCTTTTATTTTTTCTTTTCATTCTATATTCTAAACTTTTTCTTGAATATTTTGAAGGGGGTGTAACAATGTTCCTCCACGTCAGTATGAGTAAGACAAAATTGCTTTTTAATAGTGTAACCACTTTCAACATTAAAGACATAGACGATTAGAAGAGATAACAAAACTTTGACGGAAGAAAACTTTGTTTATTGCTTGCTTTCTACCGGAAATATGTTATTTTTTAAGATGTAAAGTTGTAGTTTAAAGTTTAGTTCCCATTTGTGTAAGAGCCAATAACATAAATATAACCGGGTCTTGTGGCCTAGTGGTAAAGGGGTCACGGCTCTGACTTCCGCCACCAGGGTTCGAGGCACGGCCACTGGCGGATTTACATGAGGGAATCGCCAACTTTCCGGGATGTGGGGTACCCTAGGGTAGATGACGCATGTGATCCCACGCTAGTCGGTTCCACCTCGGTGGGGCCGGACACCCGAGTTATCAAAAAAAATAATTAAAAAAAAATAACATAAATATTCAAGAAAGACACAAAATTAAATTTTGGGAGGGAGAAAAAACGAATGACTTCACGAGATGGAAATGTATATACAAAAAGTGCACCTATACGATAGCTAGAATATTCCCCCGATACTTTAGGAACGGTCACCATGACCCCTAACAGTGATTAAAGAGAACACAATAGAAAAAAAGAGAAAATGAAAGAGAAAAAAAAAAAGGCAACAAATCTGAAGAAAAAGCCTAAAAGCGTTAATAACTACGTCATATGGTAGGAAAAAAATAAGTTAGCCTACGAAATACGAATAACGGATCTTCTATATTGACTACACTGAGCCCTAAATTGTTTTATATCAAAAAGTATCATATAAGTTTGAATATATGTGGTTACTAATGTCCGGGGATAAATTCATATAAGTAGTCATATTGGAACTATTATTGCAGGTTCTAAATTCTAAATGTATAATAAGGGATATATATATGTAATTAATTTATATGTATGTATCTAATAGATTCAACCGATATCATGGACCAACCAAATTACACCAACCCACCACACTGATCATCGTGTTCTTGTTTTCGCCAACAAATGTATTTCCTAGTCCACGGTTCCGACAAAAAGTTACGAGTCCGAGCACTGGTGAAGAAGAACAAACTAGTTTAACACTTTTTAATTTTTGGTCTGAGGAAATTTATGGGTTTATGTCCAAAGTTTCTTGGTTCCAAGAAAACAAAATTAAGAATTACTAAAAAGAGTTAAGAAAAGAGGAGATCCCACAATTTATATATCACTTAATTTGTTAATCACACTTTATCTCCCAACTTTCGCCTTCTTGATTTCTTCCCCTTTTCGTTTTATTTATTGTCTGATTTTTGGTCTATTAATCACCAACGATTAGTAACATGGATGCTCAAAGTAGTTGATCTAAAAATTAATAAAGTTTCCTTGTCTAGGTTTAGATTCAAACCTCAAAATTATTAGAACAAAAATGTGGCTTAAATGAAGTGAGTCGCAAAATCATACCAAACAATAGTCAGTTTCATATAACAAATGAGGAAAAGTCAATATTGTCAAATACTTTATTATATGATAGATGTGTGCATAAATCAGTTAAATCTATAATAGTACATACATACATGTGTGAGTTTGCGCGTGTTCAAATGTGTCAATGGATGTTGGTCATCATGTAGCACATTGTCTTATTTGATTGTGATATATTTGTTTTGTCAAGAGTAAACTTGATTTACATTTCTATGACTTTTTTTTATGTTACTAACAAACAAAAAAAAGAAGGATTGTTTTGTTCTCAATCTTAGGCTTTACATAGCAAATTATAGAAACAAAATAACAATAAGGAAATTGTTTAGCCCAAATACAAAGTACGTAGTACGTCCTATTATTAAAAAATGTACCTAATATGAAATGTTAGGAGACCAGATCGGGGCTTATTCAGTAAGCAGCATAAGAAAGATTAGATTTTTAGTTCCCAGTTAAAATTTTGAATTTTGAATTAGGTGCATTCCTATGAACTTGAAAATGTTTTTAAAATCAAATAAAGCGGTTTGATAGCACTTGTTGAGGCAATCTTAGTGAATTCCGGATTAAAAATGCAGATTTGTTATAACCGGTCGTTAAAATAGCATCTTATTAACTTAATTGTAAAAGATACGCTCACTTCTATTTATTTACCGATCTTCTCACAATCGGTCGTTGTAGAGAGTTTTTAGTATAGCTCAAAACTTTTGCATCATTTTCTGTGATTAAATGCATATCGCTATAGAGATCTATCCCAACATAAATAATATATGGTTATTGTGATTAAAGATGAAATACTAACAAACTTTGTGAGACTAATAATGATCGATTATTTTTATTATGTATTCCAATAAAAATGTTTAGATTCCATGATTTATCTCCAAAAATAACTTCTCAAATTGAAATTAATAGAAATATCTAACTTGGCAAATGAACTCAATGCATTTGATGACAAAGCTGACATAAAAAGATATGTTGTTTTGCAAAAGGTAAATAGCCTTTGCTTTAACAATAAAAATCGCTTGGGGCTTCTAACTATGTTTTTACTGTGAGGCAATGAAGAGTGCAGATGTCCTAGGCTTGTAATGCTAACATACATATTCTCTTTTTCTGTTTTTGTTTTAAGAGTCTTATTATTGCTGCAATTGATATGGTAAAAGTTGGTGGATATATCGTCTACACGACATCCTCAATCATGGTACACGAGGTAAGTTAGTTTAAATGCTCCACTGCGTTTCTTATTTCTTCTCTTGATTTTGGAGTCGCATGATACTATACATTTTCATTTGAACATGAATATGAAATATGAAATGTTAGACACATCTAATGTTTTACTTATGTCATCAGGTTTCCCATTTTTAAACGTCTACACTTCCACTTTGATTTACAAAAGACTAAAAGATTATATCCGCATATACATAAGACAGATGGATGCTTTGTGGAAAAGGTAAGGTGTAGAAAAACATATTCTCAGATATATGTTTAGCGATCAAACTGATGATCTTTGTTAATTTGTTTGTTCTCAGCTGAAGAAAAAGAGTAACTCCAAAAGAAGTGAGGGAGACAAAGAAGATCAACAAGAAAGAAAAGAAAAAAACAAATTAAAGAAGAAACCTTTGCATCATCTTCGGTAATCATATGCATATATAGATAATCAATATATGGTTATTGTGATTAAAGATGAAATACTAACAAACTTTGTGAGACTAATAATGATCGCTTATTTTTATTATGTATTCCAATAAAAAAATGTTTAAATTTGTTTTATTTCCATCATTATTTTTTTCTTTGTCTATATATATAGAGGTGTCAAGTTGGTTAAACCAAACCAAACCAAACCAATCCATATACATATGGATTTGGAAAAATGGGTAAATAAACCATCGCCTTTCTTAAAAACATAGAAAAAAACCCTCAACTTTTTTTGTGGGTTTTTAAACCCTCACATTTTTATAAATGGTTAAATAAACCCTAATATTACTAAACTCAGTTATAATTATATTAAAATAGTAAGAAACAATAATAATTTAATTGATGATTTTTTTATTTCATATTCAAGTTTACGATTTTGGTTTTTGCGCTATGAACATTTATTCACCATTTAGTTGAGATTAGGCAAAATATTTTTGTTACAATTAGAAGTTATGTTATATAAAGTATATACTACAAAAAATTATAGGATATCACATTTGATTTTTTTTATTCGAGTGTTCAATTGGATGAAAATATAGTTAAATAATGATTAATTAAATATAATTTATATTATATTTTAATATATCGTAATATATATATAAATATTATTTGTTAGTAAATCTTATTTAGTTTGTCCAATGAAAATATTTTGATGTAGAAATTCATGTACTTTTCGTAGTATTATAAAATTTGGTTTGGTTTTACGTTAGTAAATTTGTGTGATTGAACCTAATAAACCTTTATTAATATAAACTCATATTCGGTTTCGATATAAAAATTTACATATAATTCGTAACAAAATCTGTTTGGTTTCACGTTGATGAATTTTTGTAACACACCGAATAAAACTTCACTAATTAACTTTTTTACATCATGACTTACATATTTTCAATTTAGAAAAATATTATAAACTAGAATTTTAGAAGAAACACCCTAAATCAAATTGTTTCTATTTATTTATGTTTTAGTATAACGATTTTTTTGAATTTAAATTAAGTTTATTAATATTAGGGTTTATTTCACCATTTATGAAAATATGGGGGTTTAAAAACCCACAAAAAAGTTGAGGGTTTTTTCTATGTTTTTAAGAAAAGTGAGAGTTTTTCTACCCATTTTTCCTATGGATTTAGTGTCTAATATCGCTTTAAAAGTCTGAATTTCATCATAGGATATATCTAGGACAGCTCCATCGCAAGAATCACACTGTATTGCTCCAAATATTTATCATATTCAAGCCTCATATTGTAAATCATCGATCCCACGAATGATGTTGTCATCGTGGTTTCTATTCACTTCTAACAAACGTTATATCTTCCATATATGTCCAAAGTATAAGTTAGATGCAGAATAACTTCTTTCAGACATTAAAGTAGTGATACTATAGAAGAGCATCAAAATCTCATAAATCAATTTTGCTCTTTCCAATCTTGACTTGAAGGACAATGTTTGTAGTTTTTGTCAACCACCTTAAACCTATTTAATGCTCGCTCATACTTCAAAGCTTTCTCAAACATCAAGTATGTAGAATTCCATCATTGTTGAACATCCAAAGACAAAAAGACTTCACCATCACCATCCACGCATTCTCCAACTGTAATACATCTAGATCAATTTGAGCTTTTGAGATACTTCACTGCAGTCTCTCTAATCTTAGTCAATGCACTGGTGATAACGTCTAACCCATCTTGCACAATGAGGTTTAAGATGTGTGCACAACATCTCACGTGGAAAAAATCTCCTTTGCACAACAAATCATTATCTAAATTAAGCCTATCTTCAATATATCTTGAAATAATCCATTTCCTGTGGCATTATCTAGAGTTAAAACTAAACACCTTTCTCTTTATTCCCAATTTCTTCAAGCATTCATGGATTTTACTAGGTTAAGCATCACTAGTGTGAGGAGTAAGTATATCACAAAAACGACAGAATTTTGTTATGCAATATTCACTTTGTATCTATATAGTGTGCAGTCACAACTATATATCCATCTCCATAGACTGTAGTCCAACAATCAGAAGTTAAACATTTTCTGCTAGGAATGTTTTCTAATTCAAGACTTCAATTTCTGTTGTTCTCTCTTCCAATTTATAACCACATCAGCAACAACATTGTTTCTAGTATAATGCTTATAGCCTGGATTTAAATAACTAAGGTAGTCCCAAAAAAGTTCATATTCAACAGAAATAAAAGAAAGATTATGTCGAATAATCACCCGACTAAATTTCTCTCTTACAATCTTATCATCAATCTGCACTAGCCATCTTTCTACATCCAAATCAAGTGATGTGCATTACAAAATATCGTGAATTTAGTTGTACTAATTTAATACGAATTAATAAATCTTCGTTTATTTTATGTTTTGAGTTGTATGTTCGTCCACACACACCATAGAAATAAATTGTGTATACGCATACTAAAAAAACATAGATATTCCACACAAAAAAATCAAAAGAAAAGATTATATATTCGCTTGAAAGTTGCAACAGTTGAAATATTCTTAGATTGTTTTCAAAAAAAAAAAAAAAAAAAGAAATATTCTTAGATATTCCACATATACTTCAAAACTTTTTTTTTTTTTGGCAAACTACAAAATTCTGTCGAGCTTATTATGTGATCCACATTTTCTATGGACCTGGTTATAAATTAATACAAGCTTCATAATTAGAGTGGGACTTCAGGTTAAAAGGACATACATTCTAGTGCCAGACACTGACTTACAAAAGAGATTTTGAAAACCTGCCCTCGAACTCGAGAGTGAGCAATCCGGCTTTCTTGTCCATGGTTCTTTTTACTATAGCTACGCGATCACGGGGAGGTTTGTGACAATGACCCGTAGGAGCCCGACCCTTATTCGGGTAGTACATGTACCTTATGTAGAAAACTGCATTTCTGGCCTTGAGTCTCTCATTTGGTGGCTTCACATTTTCCTCAGTTTCTACCGCTACCTTCAGGGCCGGCCCTACGAATTATGGGGCCACAAACAATTACGGTTTGGGGGTCTCATAATCTATATATAAATTTTTTTTTACTGTTTGGGGGCCCCAAAATCTATACATATTACTCGTTAAAAATTTGGGGGCCCAACACGAATGTTTCACCCGGCTGTGCTCAGTTACGGCCCTGCCTTCATGATAACCAATTTTGATAGATTGGGCTGCAACAAGAGTTAAAAACAAAATAGTGTTATTATTACCAACAGAGAGCCACTAATGGAGTGTCATTGAAAGAGCCACTAGTGGAATGTCATTGAAAACGGAAGAACGAAAAAAATTCTTACATTTTTAAGTTTCGTATTCGCGTTGAAGAATGCAAGTTCCATGTAGAGACGAACCCAATCATGTTTTCGCAGCTCTGATTTCTTCATCTGTAAAAGCAAACACATCACTACTGGACAGTCATAGGCAAAAGCAAAAGTGAAACTGCCAATATATCATACCACGTAATATCGAATTTTATCATTGAAAGCATTCTCCGACGGCCACTCATCAGGCAATCTAACTTGGTAGCAATCATCTAAGGGTCCCTCGGAGTTCTCTACACAGATAAGTCACACTCTACATTAATCTCACATATTTTTTTTTGATATGCATTTGAATATCATTAAAGAATAATGAACGGGTTTGTAGAATATACAAAAGATTAACCTAGTAGCTATTTCTTGCCAAAAAAAGATTAATCTCACATATGGGATCGGTTATTACGAGTCTAAATGGTAAATACGAGAGGAACCTAGTAGAATCTGAATTAGTTTTCATTCAAAACAATGCAAGTGTGTAAAGACTTTACCACGTGGTCCATACTTAGGTCGAGCAATAGAACAAATCACTTGAAATTAGGGGTGTCAAAATGGGTTAATACCCATGGGTTACCCGAACCTACCAATGATTTTAGTGGGTTGGGTAGAATTTTTTTACCCATATATATAAATGGGTTTTAGTGGGTTACCCTATTAGAGTTATGGGTTTAATGGGTAAAACCCATTAGGGTCATGGGTTACCCATGAATTTCATAATCAAAACTAAAAAGTAAAATATATATATATCTATATTAATATATTATGTAAAATTTATATAAATATATGTAAAATATCTTCTTTTCTTTACAACTATATATGTAAAATATCTAAAATAACTATTAAAGTTTACATTTTACCTAAAAATAAAAGTAAAAAGTAAAATATATGTATAATATCTAGATTTTTTAAAAAACTTTTGTTGGTTTACAATTTTATGTTATTTTTTTGGATTTTTATTATTTATATATTTTATTATACATATATATGGGTACTCATATAACCCATTAAGCCAATGGATTTCTACAATAATAGGTTTGGGTATGTAAATTCAACCCATATAAATATATGGGTCGGGTCAAACCCGTCCATTAAACACTCGAACCCATATGGGTTTGGGTCAGGTCGGGTCGGGTTACCCATTTTGACACCCCTACTTGAAATTGCATGATGTCAAAGCCTTCGTCAACAACATCACGTCTCTGTGACGTCTTGTGCGTGAATATTCTCCACGTCTTCTTCGGTTGTCTCTACGACCAACCAATGCTTCCTTTCACTCTTATAGGTAAGCATCTCTCCTTTTTTCTTGGTGTCTTCCTTTGATCACCATAACGTCTCCATGACGTCTTGTGCGTGAACATCTTCACCACATGCCCTGGCTTGTTACACGCAAAGCATCTTACACCCGTAGGAAAGCTAACACCCTTGTGTTACTTTCTTTAACAATATTAATCACTCTCATTGCGATTGTCACACGTACAAAAGTCACACCATTTCTCGGCCTTATTTTGACTTTTGTCGCCACGTTTGTTTCTTCCTTTTGAAACAAACGTTTCTCTACGTCTCGTTGACGACGTCTCATCAGTTTCCTTGAACCTTTTTGCTGGTTAGCCTTACCATGTTCTTCTAACAGGGACTTACTCCATGTTGTAGTCTTCTTCACAACTCAACACCACCTTTTGATAGTAAGCCTTGCTCTGTTTCTTAGAACAGGCGGCTTCCCCGTCTTGTGCTTCACCAAGACCATGTTGAAAAAAGTTTCATAATTTTCCTTCCACAACTCCTTCTCCACATCCATTGTCTCCATAGCCTTTTGAGAAGATTTCCTATCTCATTCATCCCTTTGGAGCCTTCTTCTTGAAGGTACGGCATGTGTTTGTGTTTGTGAAGGTCGATGGTACTCTCTCTCAGGCCCGGCCCGCCACCAATTTTAATGAAACAAAAGTATTGGGCCTCCAAAATTTTTGAAATTTTTAGTATCAAAATGAGGCCCCAAAAAAATCTATTATTTCAAAATATAGCCCTCATTTTTCTAAACTTTTCAGATTTAGTCTCAACTTTTACGTTTTATCTATTTTTTATTGCAAAATAGGCCCCATTTTTTTATAAAGTTTTTAGATTTGATCCCAAATTTTCATATTTTTCTACAAAATCCATCAAAAATTTTTGTTTTGTATCGGGCCCCATATGTTACAGGGCCAGTACTGCTCTCTCTTGTTACCACCTTCTTTTTTTTTTTTTTTTTTTTTTTCCGGTTTCTCATCGTTAATTGTCGTATCTATCTTTCTCTTCTTCTGCAGTGGACGACCACTTCTTATTCTTGCTGTACTTGGACAGGCTCCAAGACCAAGATAAGCTCTAATACCATGTTGGAATATTTGAGGGAGAATGAAGAAACAGAGTCAGAGATAGGAACTTTTAAATGAATCTGAAACTTGTTTTATTTACTCGATTGTTTTAGATAAGACAACCTACACATTTATATAGATGTGTACATAACTAACTAACTACTCTACGTAACCGTTGGTAAGAGTTGTAACTTTTCCGACAAGTTACGTGTCTTACTCGCACCCTTTCGTAGTAAGTAACATGTAGAACATGACATCCGTTGACTTTACATACAAACTATATATGATATTACAATATTTAATCATGGACACAAATTCTAACAAAAAACAATATATTCTACTATTCTAGTATAGATTAGATAGAACACAGATAACTAGACTAGGGTTAGGGACTTAGGGTTAGGTTTGTGGATCAAAGAAGATGAAAGACTTACATCAGATTCTCCGAATCGAGTCCAAAACTCCACCCTTTCCTTGATGTAATCATCATTATCCATTGACAAACGTCACGAAAGTTCTGAATCAGGCGGCTGATGCTTTCTTTTAAAGGTTTAGTTAATCGATCAAATTTCTATCACGCTATATTATGCCCCTTAAATACACATCATGATTCACTCCATGGCCCATATCTTTTTATAAAGATTTTATAGGTTCATAATTTGAGTACAATTACAATATCACATGTTCTTCAACTCAAAAACACTTTAAAAAGAACAACATGGGACAAAAACAATTGTTTGTACATCAAAAGAAAATGTCTGATTGGGACTTATTATTCGCTTGAAACTTGCAACAGTTCAGCGTGATGTTCTCACATATTCCATATACACCAAACCAAGAACTCTTATTAGTAAAAATATTTGGAAGAGATGAGAATAACCATACAACATGTCTTATAAAGTATTACAAGCTTCATAATTGGGGTAGATTATTACAAGCTTCATAATTGGGGTAGATTATTACAACAAGCTTCATAAGTAGAGTAGGACTCCAGCTTAATAGGATGCCTAACGCCTAGTCACTGCCTTACAGAAGAGTTTTTGCATACCGATTATCGAACATGAGTTTAAGGAGCCCCTTGTTCATGTCCATAGTTCTTTTTACTATAGCAACGCGATCACGGGGTGGCTTGTGACCATTATTACCCTTAGGAGCCCGTCCCTTATTAGGGTAGTACCTGTACCGTATGTAGAAAACTGCATTTCTGGCCTTGAGTCTCTCATTTGGCGGCTTCACATTTTCCTCAGTTTCTACCGCTACCTTCATAATAACCAAATTTGATAGATTGGGCTGCAACAAGAGTTAAAAACAAACAGTGTTATTATTACCAACAGAGAGCCACTAATGGATGAAAAGGAAGGAAAAAAAAGAAAGAAAGTTCCTACATTTGGAAGATCCTCATTTGCATGGATGAATGCAAGTTCCATGTATAGACGGATCCAGTTATGTTTTCGCAGCTCCGATTTTTTCATCTGTAAAAGCAAACAAATTACAATTGAACTGACAAAAAACAAAAACCAAAAACAATTGAGCTGTCATGAGCAAAAGGAAAACTGCCAATCTTACCACGTAATATCGTTTTTTATCATTGAAAGAATCCTCTGAGGGCCACTCATCAGGCAATCTCACTTGGGCGCAATCGTAAAGCCATCCATGATGCTCGGGGTTTGCTAAAAAAATAAGTCACACTCTACATTAAGCACATATGGGATTTTATATATTACGGGAAACTAAAGGGTCTAAATGGTGCAAGAATGAGAGGAACCAGTAGAATTATACTAAGCAATGCAACCTATACTGTGTTACACTTTACCTCGTGGTGGTTCGGACTTAAGTCTTGCAATAGAGACAGTCAGGGTATTGATTTTATAATTGTCTTCATTAACAACCTTGGTCTGAAAAGTTACAAGGGAACCGCCAGCAGATGGGTCCTTAGCAACCAAAGTTATAGAGTAACCGGTATATACTGTGCTACTTCGTGTATTGCATTTCTCTATGCAACAGAGCTGCAAATTCGTCCCCTGAAGATAAATGTATCAACAAGGATCATTTGATTGCAAGAAGAAAACAAATTTACATATATATATATATTTACAAAATCAGGATGTGAGAGTAGTTTTTTCACCTGTAACATATTGTATTTATGGATCCCCAACTTTGCATAAAGGAAGACTTCACTGTCAAAATCAGAATTTTCATAGTAGAGCAAACACGATTTTGGTTTATTATCCATCAGATGCTCAACATCGAACCCCTTAATCAATTACATACAGAAAAATCAGTTTAGGGTTTCGGCCTCCCAATCACAAAACCGAGTTATAAAATACTACAATTCCATCTTTTTTTATAAACCCTAAATGATAAGAACATGAAAGAATTACCTCGGATTCCCCCACTCGATCCCAAAACTTTCTGCACTTCTCATCGTCTCCCATCGTCACGAATTTTCTCAACTTTTCTCGGCTGAATCAAACGGCTGATTAGGTTTCGTCCACGCTTAATGCCCTTAATATTCATTTGTGGGCCTCCACAGCCCATATCATTCGACGGTGGAATTTTTAAAATTGAAACTGAAAATCTGGTTGACATCACAATTTCAACACTCATTCACTTTATCAAAATATCTCAACTGTAAAGTTTCAAAGCTCCGTAACCGTTTCAAGTTTCTTGCGTCTGAAGCAAACCTACTAGCTCCTGTTGGATTCTCCGGTAGCTTAAACCCTAACATTGCGTTACTGCTAAACACTCTCCTTAACTTCTCCTTTGATCTAAATTCGAGGGTTGTCTCGTTCAGCCAGTCAATGCTTGCTAAAGCGGTTGCAGAATCAATTAATTCGTAACAAGATTCTCGATCTGACATCAGCTATAATGGAGTTTGTTTGCTGTGCTAAGACAGGAGACGACAGTGCGCTGAGAGATCTTTGAACAACGTTGTTGTTGCAACTTGGTGATTCATCATAAACTGATTCTTTATGAGATTTATTTTTTTTTCAATGTTCTACGTATTATCGATTCCCATCTTGGAATAGAACCTTCATCTTCTGCTCCAAAAACGTTTCCAGCGTTTAATGGAACCACTGATCTTAAAACCTATAGAATTTTACATCATCAAAAAGACTAAAAGATTTTATCAAATCAAAGGAGTATAACACTTAAGAACAGGAAAAATACTCTGTTTTTGAGGACATAATATAGAGAAAACAAAAAATTGTTCTTAAAAAGTGAATTTTTCTTGGAGGTTTTCGATCAGACCAAAAGTTGGTAGACTACTAAGACTAGGATCGCCTTCTTCGTCAAAAAAGATTTTGTATGCATTTAAATCATGATAAATCTTTCGGTTTTCGATATTGCAATAATCAAGTTCTTGTGCGAAAAAATCTGCAACTCTAACACGCATTTCCAAAGGAGGAGGCTGTTTTTCCCTTACACAAAATGGAACCCGAAACACACAAACAGAGACCATCAAGTCTCTAAGAGAATATAATACGTGGTTAATTATGCTCGGCTGATTAGGTTTCCTTCTTCACGCTATATGCCCTTATATACATTTATGAGCCTAGTCATTGACTCATTGTTTCATGTCATTGCACTTGATTCATTGTTGGCTATCATTGCGTTTGATCCTCTAAAGTATGAGCGCGTTGTGGACATGGCGTATTAATATTATTATACACAAATAACTAGACTAAGGTTTGGGTTAGGTTTGTGGATCAAAGAAGATGAAAGAAAAGACATTTTCACGTTTAACATGAAAAAAAGATTTAGTCTCACAGTTTGGCAAAGTGAGATTTCAATCTCATGTTTTGACATTTAAGCCATTTTATGACGAAAATACCCCTAAAGAATTAAACCAAACGACACACCAGAATGAAAGAATTACATCAGATTGCCCGAATCGAGTCCAAAACTCCACCCTCTCCTTGATGTAATCATCCATTAACAACGTCAGGGAAAGTTCTCAACTTTGCACTTCTGAATCAAGCGGCTGATGCTTTCTTTTAAAGGTTTTATAGGTAGTCTCTTAGAAATACTTCTTAACAATATTTAAGTAATTTATTTGTAAAAGTTATTGTTAAGAGATAGTATTTTTGAGTTAAGATTTTTGTGTGATTAATGGTAGGTTCTTAACATGTGGTTCTTAAAAGAAAAAAATATTAATATAAAAATAAGATTTATAATTATTGAAAATTTAATAATTATTGCAAATTAAAAAAATTAAAACATACATGAGATACAATTTATAACATAAATAACATAAAGCACAAATGTTTTAAACTTAATTTCTGTAATATTTTGTCTATATATATCCGACCAAATCATTCTTCAATTGTTGATGCATTCTTCATACGGTTAGTTTGCTAAGGATATTTTCAGATATTTCGGTTATTTTTGAGTATTTTTGGATATTTTTCGGTTATGTTCGAGTATTTTTACTATTTTTATATATTTTCAAGTATTTTTGATTATTTAGTCTATAAATAACTAATTATTTTGAAATGTATTTCGGGTATTTTCGGTTATTCGAAATTTATTGGTTCGGTACCGATTTCGGTTCGGTTTATTTATCCATGCATAATTTAACTCATCAACCACTCATACACGGACATGTGACCGTCTCTTAGCTTCAGTTTTGGCTCTTAGCTAAGAGACGTCTCTTAACTATAAGTTTAATTTTTGAATTAAATTAAATCAATTAATGCCTAAGATCTACCTAAGAATTTGCTAAGAGCTTATCTATAAAAATGCTCTTAGCCGATTAAATTTCTACCACGATATGCGCCTTAACACACATCATGATTCATTTATGGGCCTATATTGGGCCTCAACAGCACACATAGTTTTATAAAGATTTTATAGGTTCATAATTAGAGTACAATATCACATGTTCTTGAACTCAAAAACAAAAACAATTTTTTTTTGTCCCATGTAAAAAAGAATAATCACGCTGCATTTTTTGTTTGTCACTTGCTAGAAGTTATTTTTTTTCACATTGAGACAAAAAAACTTTGTTTTATACATCAAAATAAAATGCCTGATTGGGACTTGTAACTTGCAACAGTTCAGCGTGATTTTCTCAGATATTCCACATACACCAAACCAAGAACTCTTATTAGTAAAAATATTTGGAAGAGACGAGAATAACCATAAATTACAACATGTCTTATAAAGTATTACAAGATTCGTAAGTAGAGTAAGACTCCAGCTTAATAGGAGTCCTAACGCCTAGTCACTGCCTTACAGAAGAGTTTTTGCATACCGATTATCAAACACGAGTTTGAGGAGTCCCTTGTTCATGTCCATAGTTCTTTTTACTATAGCAACGCGATCACGGGGAGGCTTGTGACCATTACCCTTAGGAGCCCGTCCCTTATTAGGATAGTACCTGTACCGTATGTAGAAAACTGCATTTCTGGCCTTGAGTCTCTCATTTGGCGGCTTCACATTTTCCTCAGTTTCTACCGCTACCTTCATAATAACCAAATTTGATAGATTGGGCTGCAACAAGAGTTAAAAACAAACAGTGTTATTATTACCAACAGAGAGCCACTAATGGAGGAAAAGGAAGGAAAAAATAGAAGAAAGTTCTTACATTTGGAAGATACTTATTTGCATGGATGAATGCAAGTTCCATGTATAGACGAATCCAGTCATGTTTTCGCAACTCCGATTTCTTCATCTGTAAAAGCAAACAAATCACAATTGAACTGACAAAAACAAAAGCAATTGAACTGTCATGAGCAAAAGCAAAACTGCCAATCTTACCACGTAATATCGTTTTTTATCATTGAAAGCATCCTCTGAGGGCCACTCATCAGGCAATCTCACTTGGGCGCAATCGTAAAGCCATCCATGATGCTCGGGGTTCGCTACAAAAATAAGTCATACTCTACATTAAGCACATATGAAGGGATTACATATTACAGGAAACTACAGGGTTTAAATAGTGCAAGAATGAAAGGAACCAGTAGAATTATATAAAGCAATGCACCCCCTATACTGTTACACTTTACCTCTTGGTGGTTCGGACTTAAGTCTTGCAATAGAGACAGTCAGGGTCTTGCTTTTATAACGGCCTTCGTTAACAACCTTGGTCTGAAAAGTTACAAGGGAACCGCCAGCAGATGGATCCTTAGCAACCAAAGTTATAGAGTAGCCGGTAAATGCTGGGGTAGGTCGTGAATTGCATTTCTCTATGCAACTGAGCTCCAAATTCGTCCCCTGAAGATAAATATATCAACAAAGATCATTTGATTGCAAGAAGAAAACACATATATTTACAGGATCAGGATGGGAGAGTAGTTTTTCACCTGTAGCATATTGTATTTATGGATCCCCAACTTTGCATAAAGGAAGACTTTACTGTCGAAATCAGAATTTTGATAGTGGAGCAAACACCATCCTGGTATTTTATCCATCAAATGCTCAACATCGAACCCCTTTAATTACACAAACAGAAAATTCAGTTTAGGGTTTCGTCCTCCCAATCAAAACCGAGTTATAATTTATAAACGTACTACCTCGGATTCGAAAACTCTAAAAAGATAAGAAGATGAAAGAATTACCTCGGATTCCCCCACTCGATTCCAAAACTCTCTGCACTTCTCATAGTCTTCTTCTCTCATCGTCACGAATTTTCTCAACTTTGCTCGGCTGATTAGGTTATGCCCTTATATTCATTTATGGGCCTCCATGCTCAGCCCATATCTTTCGACGGGTAGAGAAGTTTTGTGAATTTTTAAAATTGGAACTGAAAATCTGGTTAAGGATCGGACATCAACGATTTCAACACTCATTCACTTTATCAAAAGATGTTGTTTTACTCAAGTTGGAAGACTCTAAATCTTCGTCTGATGAAGAAACAGACAAAATTTTCGCAGCTTGGCAAGACGAGGAATTATTATCATTCTCTTCTCTTAGATCATTCCAAATCAACTGTAACGTTTCAAAGCTCCGTGACCGTTTCAAGTTTCTTGCGTCTGAAGCAAAACCTACTAGCTCCTGTTGGATTCTCTGGTAGCTTAAACCCTAGCATCCCGTTCCTGCTAAACACCCTCCTTAACTTCTCCTCTTATCTACATTCGAGGGTTTTCTCGTTCAGCCAGTCCAATGCTCGGTAAAACGGTTGCAGTATTGAAGAATCCCTTTGTAGCAAAATCTAGCGACAACGAGATTCTTGACCATGACATCGGCGATAATGGAGTTTCTTTTCTGTGCTAAGACAGGAGACGACAGCGCGCTGTGAGATCTTTGTACAACGTTGTTGTTGCAGCTTGGTGATTCATCATAAACTGATTCTTTATGGGATTTTTTTTTTCCTATGTTCTACGTATTATCGATTCCCATCTTGGAATAGAACCTTCATCTTCTGCTCCGAAAACGTTTCCAGCATTTTAATGGAACCACTTATCTTAAAACCTATAGAATTTTACATCAACAAAAAGACTAAAAGATTTCATCAAAACAGAGGAGTAAAACTTAAAAACAAGAAAAATACTCTGTTTTTGAGGACATAATATAGAGGAAAAAAATATTTGTTCTTAAAAAGTGAATTATTTAAGGAAAAAAAGGTTACTGTGATACAACTTTTTAACTTAATATCTTGTCGGTAGATAGCCAATCGTCTCTCTAGGTCATCGGACGGCCGTCTAGAAGCATGCGGTGCATACGGACTAGGCAGAGGAATCGGATGAACAATCTGATGATGGAAATGAATTAGGTTTCAACTCTTTCTCTGATGATGTAGAATCCTTGAGACCTTGACCGTTCATCACTCATTTTAGATGTAGAATTGACAAAAACTAGGCAAATAGAGTGAAAATAAAACTACAAAAGTTGCAAGGACATTACATGACTGTTGGACATGGGCTTCGCCCTTCCCACATCTGAAGTGGCCCATTAAAAGATCGTGACCACTTTTGGTGCGTTGACCAGGAGTTCAGCGTGTTCGTCGGCCCAGCAGGACTAGAAGAACCCCAGTAGTCCCACTAGGCGGACGATCCGCCAAGAAGCCAGCCCGTCAGGAGAATTTAATTAGAGTACAATATCACATGTTCTTCAACTCAAAAACAATTTTAAAAGGAACAATATGGGACAAAAAAAATCAAAAGAAAATGTTTGATTGGGACTTGTTCGCTTGAAACTTGCAACAGTTCAGCGTAATTTTCTCAGATATTCCACATACACCAAACCAGGAACTCTTCTTAGTAAAAATATTTGGAAGAGACGAGAATAACCATAAATTACAACATGTCTTATAAAGTATTACAAGCTTCATAATTGGGGTAGATTATTACAAGCTTCATAATTGGGGTAGATTATTACAACAAGCTTCATAAGTAGAGTAGGACTCCAGCTTAATAGGATGCCTAACGCCTAGTCACTGCCTTACAGAAGAGTTTTTGCATACCGATTATCGAACATGAGTTTAAGGAGCCCCTTGTTCATGTCCATAGTTCTTTTTACTATAGCAACGCGATCACGGGGTGGCTTGTGACCATTATTACCCTTAGGAGCCCGTCCCTTATTAGGGTAGTACCTGTACCGTATGTAGAAAACTGCATTTCTGGCCTTGAGTCTCTCATTTGGCGGCTTCACATTTTCCTCAGTTTCTACCGCTACCTTCATAATAACCAAATTTGATAGATTGGGCTGCAACAAGAGTTAAAAACAAACAGTGTTATTATTACCAACAGAGAGCCACTAATGGATGAAAAGGAAGGAAAAAAAAGAAAGAAAGTTCCTACATTTGGAAGATCCTCATTTGCATGGATGAATGCAAGTTCCATGTATAGACGGATCCAGTTATGTTTTCGCAGCTCCGATTTTTTCATCTGTAAAAGCAAACAAATTACAATTGAACTGACAAAAAACAAAAACCAAAAACAATTGAGCTGTCATGAGCAAAAGGAAAACTGCCAATCTTACCACGTAATATCGTTTTTTATCATTGAAAGAATCCTCTGAGGGCCACTCATCAGGCAATCTCACTTGGGCGCAATCGTAAAGCCATCCATGATGCTCGGGGTTTGCTAAAAAAATAAGTCACACTCTACATTAAGCACATATGGGATTTTATATATTACGGGAAACTAAAGGGTCTAAATGGTGCAAGAATGAGAGGAACCAGTAGAATTATACTAAGCAATGCAACCTATACTGTGTTACACTTTACCTCGTGGTGGTTCGGACTTAAGTCTTGCAATAGAGACAGTCAGGGTATTGATTTTATAATTGTCTTCATTAACAACCTTGGTCTGAAAAGTTACAAGGGAACCGCCAGCAGATGGGTCCTTAGCAACCAAAGTTATAGAGTAACCGGTATATACTGTGCTACTTCGTGTATTGCATTTCTCTATGCAACAGAGCTGCAAATTCGTCCCCTGAAGATAAATGTATCAACAAGGATCATTTGATTGCAAGAAGAAAACAAATTTACATATATATATATATTTACAAAATCAGGATGTGAGAGTAGTTTTTTCACCTGTAACATATTGTATTTATGGATCCCCAACTTTGCATAAAGGAAGACTTCACTGTCAAAATCAGAATTTTCATAGTAGAGCAAACACGATTTTGGTTTATTATCCATCAGATGCTCAACATCGAACCCCTTAATCAATTACATACAGAAAAATCAGTTTAGGGTTTCGGCCTCCCAATCACAAAACCGAGTTATAAAATACTACAATTCCATCTTTTTTTATAAACCCTAAATGATAAGAACATGAAAGAATTACCTCGGATTCCCCCACTCGATCCCAAAACTTTCTGCACTTCTCATCGTCTCCCATCGTCACGAATTTTCTCAACTTTTCTCGGCTGAATCAAACGGCTGATTAGGTTTCGTCCACGCTTAATGCCCGTTATATACATATATCCGGATACATTTATGGGCTTGATTTGGGCCTCCACATCACATATCTTTTCGCCGGGTGGTTGGGCCTTTTCTGAAAATCTGGTTAAGGACATGGGGATGGGCATCATCAACAACTCATTGACTTTAGCAATATATGTTGTCATAATCAAATCGGAAGACTCTTGAGTATGTTAGCGGTAGAAACTGAGATAAGCTCAGATCAGATCAGACATAGTTTTTGCTGAGATAACTGGGAAACTCTCAGGCGATAGAGAGAGTCGAGGTTGATTCCTGTCGGAAGAGTCTTCAGAGTTTTGCAAAAACTCCATTCGCAATTCTTCTAATTTATTAAGATACTGGATAGTGCAGTAAACTTGAACAACAGGTAAGTTCAAGTTTCTTGAGGTTAATGGCCATAGAAAGATCTGGGATTTCTTTCAGTTTTCCGGATCCAGCTGATAAGTTCAGAGTACGCAAACTCTAATTCCTTATCGTCGACCAATGTACAAACCAAAAGAGATGGCTAACACATCATCTTTGTAAGCTCATCATCCACCATTCTCACGCAGGAGAAGCTTCTACATCAATCAACATAAAAGACTCAAGCATCACAATCTCTTATTTATACTCATGAAGACTGAACAGCAAACCCTCTGTAACGCCCAGAGACTTTGCTCTCCTTTTCGCAACTCACAACACAGTCAACTCTCCGTTGACTTCTCTGCTCTTTACTTGCTTCTCATGTCTTATAAATACTCCCCCCATTCAAACAAGCTTGTCTTCTGAAATCGAAACACTTCATACATGCTTTCAATGGCATTGAGAATGATCTGTTTCTGCAACAAATGTTGCCGCAATCTGGATAACCTATCGATGCTGACTTTCTCCCTTGCTTCTACTCCACTTTTAAACTTAAATCGCCAAGATTTGAAGCTCTTCCTCAGCTTCCTCTTACTTGGTTGTCTGCTAAGCCTGTGAGTAAACATTTGGTGTGCACAAAAAGGCTGCCATATATCAGTCCCATTCGGAGATATTGGGACAACTTCTCCATTGGCAACAAATTGCTCATTAATTGCTTCCACAACTGGTGATTTGTTCTGTGACTCCACTCTATGGACTTGACCCTTCTTTGAGTCATCGAGCAAGATCAGTGTGTGTTTTGGAACAGAAGCAGTCTCTGCCAAGGTTGTAATCGATGAAGTTTCACAAAGCAATTCACGGTGTTGACACATTTTCTTCACAAAAACAGACTCCTCTCTCTGAAGGGATTTCTTCTCATCAGACAGATCATCCTTTACCACAAATTCTTGATGGTCTAACACTGAAATCACTTCCCTTAATTCACTGTTTTGCTTTTTCTCTGCAACAGAAACGATTTCCCGCGGACTAATCAATGTCGTGTCTGCAACATTAGATGTCTCCTTCCTCAATGTATGAGATTCCATGGATAGAGCAACATCAACCATCTCTGGTAAGGACTGGGGCTTCATCATGTAAACCAACTCCTGCATTTCAAGCTGTAAACCATTCAAGAAGATGCCTTGAAGTTTCTGATCATCCAAACTTGTAACCTTTGCGGAGAGATCCTTAAATTTCTGAACATATGCAGCAACTGTACCTTCTTGTTTAATGCAAAACAAGCTTTGGCTAGGTCCTTTAATCCTCAAAGTACCAAAACGCAGCAACAAGCGATCCTTAAAGTGAAACCAATTGGCAAATGGGAGTCTATTCATTTCACAATTGAACCAACCCAAAGCATCACCTGCCAAATGCACCGAAACCCAATCTAACTTCTCCAAATCAGAAAAACCACCAATACGGAAGTATCGCTCAGCCAAAGATATCCATCCGTAAATATTTGCGCCATCGAACACTGGCATCTCTGCACTTTTCAATAAACTCTCACAAGATCCAACATCTACTTCCCTAAGGCGTGGTTCAGAAAAATCGAGAGGTACATGATGACGACAATCCTGAGAAAACGATTGCGCAGTACGACTCGCCTCGTGAGACTCGCGATCAGGTTCAATCGGAGGAAGCCGAAGCAAGATCTGTTCCATCGTACGCTTAATCGACTTGTTTCGAAGCTTTTCTTCATGAAATTGTGAATTCAGAGTGTTTAGTCGATCGAATAGCACCGGAATCGGATCGGAATCAGACGCCGAAGAAACATCTGAGAGAATCGAAGATAACTGTGAATCAAGCACCACCATCTTCAATCGTCGCTGAAATCGTTCGATCTGTTGTCACTAACGCACCATTTGATAAGTTCAGAATACGCAAACTCTTATTCCTTATCGTCGATCAATGTACAAACCAAAAGAGATGGCTAACACATCATATTTGTTAGCTCATCATCCACCATTCTCACGCAGGAGAAGCTTCTACATCAATCAACATAAAAGACTCAAGCATCACAGTCTCTTATTTATAATCATGAAGGCTGAACAGCAAACCCTTTGTAACACCCAGAGACTTTGCTCTCCTTTTCGAACTCACAACACAGTCAACTCTCCGTTGACTTCTCTGCTACCTTCTTCTCTTTACTTGCTTCTCATGTCTTATCACCCGCCAAATTCACTTCCTTGAGCTTTGTAAGTCACTGAAGTAAAATAAGGCTTAAAATCACTTAAAAGGCTTGCAAATCTAAAAAAGTTAAATAGGCATTGTAATCTCAATACTAATTTATCATTTTACTAAAAACTTACATGAACTCCATCGCACAGCTTCTCGAGTTTGGTCTTCCGCTTAACGAGAGGTTTCCACTGTCCAGGATGAAATTTAGAAGGCATACATCTCAACGGGTATTTTTCCTAACTCAGTAATCTGAGCTTATGGGTTAAAAGCCATCTTGCCTCTTCTCCTATTTAGTGAAAAACTTTAGAAAAAGAAGATTACACACCTACTATGAAGGCACTCTCATGTATATATGCAGGTCATCAGTCTCATCTATATTCAAGACTGAGAATTGACCTGCTTATTACTCTGTTCTGAAATCTGCTCCCCATTTTTCACAGTCTCATGGGCTGTCTCAAAGGAACTATTTAAACTTGATGAGCTATCTTCATCAGGAATTGATAACTTCCTATTAATCTCCCCTGGTTCTTGTTTTCCTTCATATACAGACTCATGTTCATTTGTTTGGTTGGTAGAACTGCACCCACTTGCAAAGACTAATCCTTCAGAGACATTAAGGTTTGTGCTTGTTCCAGAATCTAGAGTAGGAGTTAACTGAAACTTACAGAACTCACACCAATTTCAGATTCACCCTTGCATTCAGATTTTTCTAATCTGCTAACAGTACCGCAATCATTTTTCCTTCGCCTCAGCTCCTGTGCCTTCATACCCTGATTCCGTGCTTCCTAATCCAATAAATCCCTCATTTGGAATCGTCAATGCATCTGATTCACAGAAACTACCAACACTAGTTCACTTATCACTGTCATTGCTTACAATTTCATCTCATCCTCTATCCTCATCATTTTCTCCACTTTCCACCAGAATATCATTGCAATCTGGCACAACACTGAGACTATATCCTCCAGTAGTCTCAAAAGACACCAACGCATCATCAGAAAATTTCACTTGCACCATATCCTCCTTCACATGTAGCAGAACCTGATCAGTCTGGTTTGTCAGTGATTCCCATTCTTCTTAATTCAACCTGCAATATCTTCAACACCTTCCACATCACCTGGCTTTACAAATGCGTCCACTTCATGATTGCTATCATCCTTGATGATACTTGTTTGAACAACACCTTTCCCTATGAGTTGCTTGAAAGTGCACATGATCCCATAGTCGCCTCAATATAGCTTCCCTCATTTTCCACCATAACATCGTCACAACCTCCTGGTACAACACCGAGACTTCGTTCTTTGATATTCTCAGTCTCAGAGCACATCACACCGTTATCTAGTTTAACTGGATAGTTCATCCCCACCACTTGTACCAATATGGAAACGAAATCACATATACCAAAATCTGAGCACTCTGATTCCTCAACCGTTCCTATATATCTCTCTCTAAATGGCAATGCCCTAACTTCGACTTCAGAACCTAGAGCCCACAACACAAACTCTTCATAATCACTAGCCAAAATTCAACATTAGACAAAGAGAAAATAGGCCGGGGAATGCCTAGTATGCTCTTCACTCTCGCTAACTACCTCAACCTCATCCCTGAACCCTTCCTCCAAAGAAGAGTAATTCACCGACGTCAATACAAACTGCAAATCACACTCCCATCTCCACCGTGGATCTTCCCCTAGTAGCCTGCGAACCCTAATCACATCCTCTTAACGATAACTAGTTACTGAGTTATGTTCGTCGGTTACAGAAACAGAAACCTGCAGAGGAAAACGAAGCAGAGAGAGTACGCGTGAGAAGAAACGCATTAGCCGCAGAAATTGAAACGCCATTTTTTTTTTTTTGAATCGACCGTTGTTGCAGCGAGAATTGAAACAATTCCAGGCTTCTCTCCGACTCCATATAAACAAAGCATCCGAACATACACACAATAAAACCCAAGGAACGCTTGGAATTGTTCTCTGGGTGTTTTAGGGATTTATGTGAATGAAGCTTGTAAGTGTGGAAGATGGAGGAAGAAGCAAAGAAATACTAAAGATTTTTTATCCACTCGGGTTAATTTTGAAAATTAAAATTTTGTAAGGAAGGATTATATATCGAATATTTGAAAAGATTTGGGGCTTATTTGTGAATGTGGTGGGAGTGTTAGAATGTGGTAGGCTTTTAATTATAACTGCATAATCTTGTTATAACTACACTGACTCAGACTTGTGTTAATTTGGAAGAAACAAATGGATTGCAAATTAACACACAAGTCGTCTAGAAAGAAAGGAGAGAAATCAACTTATGGGAATCTAATGGTTTCTCTTTCTCCATTTGCTCTTGCTTGTTTCAGATCCGTTTGCTGTTGCGAATGTTGAGGACTCAGGTGCTGGAACAAACCGTCCAGTCCAAGGACCCAAAAAAACGGAATTTTGCTGCAACGGCAAGCAAGATAGGTTATATCAAAACATATTATTGATCCATGTGGTGAAAAGTGGATATAATTTACATCATTAGTTAGTATTTGATCATTTTAGTTGATCTGGTGCAAACAAGGGTAGATAAGTATCATATTTTCAGCCTTCAAAGTGATGCTAAACACTTCTCTCATCTGCTTGAATTAATTTTTGAAGACTTGAATGATTTCAGCACCAATGTAGCTACCCTTATCAACCAACGTAGATAGCTCTTTCTTTTACTAACTTGAATCTTCTTTCTTAACGTCTGTATCTATGAAATTTACTTATTTAGTTATTTATGAGAATAGTGTCAGGTATACGGAAGTCTAAAGACCTGGTTTCAAGAAAAACATAGCAAGTAATATTGAATATTTATTGATGCAAAAGGAACAACATTACTTGGGAAATGGAAAAACTAGAGAGTCCAGAGATGATCGATGTAGATGACAGAGGCAGCAACAACAACAATCAGGTCACAACGACGATTTTTCATGGAACTTGATGAATCTATTAGCCTTTGGTAGACTATGGTATAAACATTGTAACTGAGAGGACATAACCAATAGGAGTAGGGGAAATAGAAAGATTCTACACGAGTCCCAGAGAACAACAATTCTTCTTGAGAAATTTATAGGGATGAGACGATCTTGATCAAGGCTTGTGCATTGGGCCCTGTCACATTCTTTTCACAAAACTTCTGACAAGCTTCTTGTTTGTCTTTTTCATCTCCATTCCATATAATTTTCTCATAAACGGAGCTCACCATACTCCTCACCGCTTCCCTTGTCTCTGGCAACTTGTCACTCAACAGATCCGCAGCCTTTTGCGCGAGCACAAGCATCCCAAATTCTTCAATTTCACTTAGCTCCTGACATATAGAGAAAAAAAGATCAATCACAATTCAAGGACATGGATGACAGAGGGAGTAACTGCAACAGCTGCTTTTTTCCATCGAATAGCAAATGTTAAACCTATCTGTTTATAATCCATAGCCAATCAAAAGCTAAACTGATATAAGAAATCTACTTTACCAGATCGTCTATTGATTTCAAATCAGGTTCTTCCAGAAACTTTTCACCGTATTCATTGAAGATATCAGAGCAAGTTGATTCAGGCTGAGCCACAGGGAGATGATCAATCTCAGCCAGAGAAGGAAGATGACGACTTCTGGAATCGTTTTTCCTTTTCTTGTTTTTTCTTTTCTCTCTCTTTGATTCTGGTTTGTTCAATGGCCTGTCCAGAGGTGATGGTATTTCTGCAACAGTGAAGTTCCTAAGAAGGAAAGAGGGAGCCACTGGATCGGAATTCATACCAAAGACCATCCTAGTTAACGAAACTGTTATGTAACCATCTTTGCCTGATTCTTTGCCATGGCTGTTTTTAACAATGGCGACAAGTTCTCCTTCAATTTTGTCAAGTTTGATGACTAAGACAGAGTGTAATCCACAATATTTAGACCTGTTACTTTTAGGCCCATCATAAATTCTCTGCAAGTCAAATAGTGTGTTACTGGTTTAGGTTAAGAAAATAGAAGGAGAAAAAGATTTAAAGAGAGTCAAATTTAGTACTTACTTCGCCAATGTTTTTAAACTCTGGATTGAATAAGAGCACATTTGCCACAACCGGTTGCTTCAACAACATCTTATACAAGTCTCTCAAGTCGTTTGATTCTCGAATTTCCACATCTTCCCCAATCTTGTAGAGGTTTGGAGGATTTCGTTCAGGCGGGTCACTAATACAGTTGAATTCTTCTTTAGCATCTCTAGGATCCTCCTCTGGAACTCCATTGTACTTCATAAACTTAAGCGCCCGGGCTGTAGAGAACCCATGGCAGTGGTGACCTTCTCTGCCACCCTCAGCTGCTTCATTGGAACGCATATCCTTGTCAACGTAATAGGTGAGATACCTTGAGCTAAAAGTTCGGAATTTGTCATCTTCTTTAGTGATCAAACGCCTTGCACTGTAGCTATCTGTCCCTGCATAAGTCCAGCAGTTACCTAGAAAGGCAAAAACAAAAACAAAACTAGTTAAACACATTTATGTTAATCAACTAAACGAAAAGGTAAAATCATAGAAGATATTTTACTGTGTGAATTTTGATCTCGAACATGGCCTCCTTCGTTTTTCCAATCCTTCGTCAACACCTCTGGTTGTGGTTCAAGTGGATTGACTTTCCAAAGCATGAATTTCACTCCCTTCTTAATTGTTCTGCATATTATCTTGCAACATGGATTTGAGCTTTGGATCTTGCTTTTGACTTTTTTACTTACTTCATACTCAGCATCAAACAGATCCATCCACTTCCTAGAGCTATTAATCTCTTTCGGAGTCATAGGAAGACCGAGAAAACGCTTTCTCTTTTTCTCTATATCTAAGAGTACAAAAGGGATCAATCAATTAGTTAGTGACCATGTTATCTTTAAGACTCAAATACTTAGAATCTAGCTAAAGTTAAAGTGCAGACCAGATTGAGACAATATGTTATATATATCCTATCTCAACAGTATCTTCAATATCCTAAAGGCAACAGTAACATCAAGAACCAAATCAAGACTGGTTAAGCACAATCGTAAGACCTACAACATCATAATCCTCAAGAACCAAGATGCAATAAGGTACTATATCTATGTTATATATCCTATCTCAACAGTATCTTCTATATCCTAAAGGCAACAGTAACATCAAGAACCAAATCAAGACTGGTTAAGCACGATCGTAAGACCTACAACATCATAATCCTCAAGAATCAAGATGCAATAAGGTACTATATCTTCAACATCATAATGCTCAATAACCAAGATGCGATAAGGGTCTCTATCTCTATAGCAAAAAACTTACCTTTAAAGAATTTGAGAGTGACTTTCTTAAGTCTCCACTTCTTCAGTGAGCGTTTTCTCACTAGCTTTTTGGTAATCGGAGGACTGGCCGCTGCAGATTGTACTACTCTGTTCTGCTCCAGATTGGGATTGGGATCGGAGAAGGAATCGTAGAGGGTTTCGTGGGAGAGAGACTCCATAATCTTCTGCTCCTCAGGTTTCATCAATTCTAGGGTTTCGTGGGAGAGAGAATCCATAATCTTCCGCTCCTCCATCGAAGGTTTTACTTCTAGGGTTTCTTTCTCCGGTCCTGAATCTGTCTGTGTTTTCTCTGAAATTGATTTCGTACGGAAGGAGACGAGGGTTTTATCTGGCGCTGGAAAATAACGTTATTTTTCTTATTTAAATTTAGCTCATTTTAAATATTTAAATTTATCTCACAAGACCTTTGAAATTAAAACGGCCATTTTTCTCATTAAAAAAAACAAATTCATTAATATTTCCTTTCTTTTTCTGGATTCTAAAGACAAAAGTTTGCTTTGATAAATATTAAATTCATTTCTTTTTTTAATCTCGTTAACTGATAAATTTCAAATTAAAACCCCCCAATTTGTACAATTTTAAACCAGATATATTGTAATTAAACCTTTTATCGCTAATGCCAAAGTAATTTCACAGCGAGAAAGCTATAATGACGTGGTCTCTTGAAGAAAAGTAGCTATTTCCAATTTTCTTTTATTTTTTCATATGATTAAAAATAAAATTTAAGCTTTCTATCCAAATTGTTCTCAAGAGTTTTCTACCGATTACGGAGCCACACAAAAATAAAATTGGTTAGTACAAAAAATGATTAGTAAATATTTTTCAATTGGAAAGTGGTGCTTATTGTGGTTGTTTTGGTACTTCTGTCAAATCAAAATAATAATTCATGTGGAAAAAGATCTTATTTTTCTAGATTTCGTAAATGTTGTTTTCTTTTTGGAACTACAAGTAATTTTGGATATGAATTTTGATTAGATAATATGTGAATAATATAAAAAGTTTAATTGAATTTTGCAGATGAAACAAATATTCATGTATACATTAAAAAATAGCGTAAGTCGGAAACAAAAATTAAATGACGAAATATTTACAATATAGTAAAATAGAACTAGATTTACGAACGGTTTTGCATGTAACATCATATCGTAAATAAAAAATAAAATCAAATGATGTAATATTTGAAATATAGTAAAAAAATTAAATTGTTTTACGACATATAGAAATTATGTTTCGTAACATGTTCAAGTATTTTCAAAAAGCTACATAACAAAATTACTATTATTAAACAACGAAGAATTTCTTACCAAATTTTCTAAAAAATGATTTAAATTCACAAAAGATGAACAGTATTTTTAACCAGCGTGAACAAATATTAAAACCTTACAAATTTGGGGGCCTCTTATAATAAAATTTCTTGATTGCAGCCCTCAAATTTTGAGGGCCGGCTTGGACGTCATATGATTATGACCCATGTTTTGGAGATCCTAGACCTATGTTTTATCTCTAGGCACATGATCCTGAGTTAGAAAACATTTCTAGCGATGGAACCACTTCTTGTAACCTATAGAACTTGACCTCATCAAAACAAATATAGATTTCACCAAAATAGAGGAGTAATACTTAAAAACTGATTGAAAATACTTTACTTTTGAGGACATATAATGGAGAGAGTTTTATTCTTAAAAAGTGAATATGTACAATAATACTAGTATAAATATATCTTTAAGGTTATTAGTAGAAAGTTGATCGTCAAATTTTAAGTCCTCAGACGAACGTAAGGAGCTTGTGATACATAGATACATACATACATATAAGGAAGAAGAATCGAATGAACTGTTTGAAGACGGAGATGAATTAGGTTATGACTCTTTCTCAGATGATGCATAATTTCATTGCCAATTATGATTATCTTCATGATAGCAATGATGAGGACGAATCCATGGCCAACGATGACGATCTTCACTTTAGAAATAATGAGCACAAATATTTTCGGATATCTTAATCTTTTTGTATGTCTCTCTCACACTATGAATATCTTTAACTGTTTTTAAAGTCTGTTCTTGCAAAGTATTAGTTCAGTTTTCTTAGAGATTGTTTGATCTACTAAAGTATGAACGCGTTGTAAACATGGCTAAGTTATTATTATTATACATAAATACCTTGTATTTGTTCTAATGCAACACGATAACCAAAGGGTACATGAAGTTAATTTTCAAGTATTGATTTGTATCATGTGTTATGATGAAAAGTGCTATTAATTAAATATTAGACTCTAAACTTAGTACTTGTTGAGGTAATCTTAGTGAATTCCAGATTAGAAAATGCAGATTTGACACAACCGGTCGTTACAATAGCATCTTATACAACTTAATTGTACAAGATATGCTCACTTCCACTTCTTTAGTTACCAATCTTGAATATGAGTGTAGGATAGTGTTGTAGAGAGTTTTTAATATAGCTGAAAACATTTGCATCATATTAAGGGATCAAATGCATATCGCTATAGAGATATGTCCCAATATAATCAATATATGGTTATTGTGATTAAAGATGAAATACTAACAAACTTTGTGAGACTAATAATGATCGATTATTTTTATTATGTATTCCAATAAAAATGTTTTGATTTATCTTATTTCCATTATTTTTTATTTCCTTTGTCAGCATAAGTCCAACAATTATCTAACCAAAAAGAAAAAAAACTAGTTATGAACACATTTATATTCAGTTAACTAATTAGCAAGATAGAATCAAATAAAAACCATGAGATCTCTGATTTCGAACACAGCCTGATATCTTTTTCCAATTCTCTGCAAACACCTCTTGACTTGGTGTCTTCTAAACAACCTGCCAAAGCATGTATATCATGACAATGACAGAAAATCCTGACACACGGTTTTGTGCCATTGATCTCCTTTTTTCACAGATTTACGTATACCACGCTCTTGAAGAGACGTGTCATTCCAATTCCGATTTTCCATAATCTGACACTGCTTATACTCTGAGTTTTAGCAATTTTCTGTCATGTTAAGATAACAGACTAACAATGAGTCATCTATAAGGAATACATGAATTGGCTTTGTTCTTAATTAAACGATATACTGATCTTATTGACTAAAAGCTTTCCTTTCTACAGATTGACACTAATTTGCAAGCTCAACACAGATTCTTTCAAATCCACCGTAGTAAACATCGTTTATAACAAGATTACAAGAAGATTGAAAGCCTTTCGAATCAAACATGTGAAAGACTTGAAGCATCGGGCAAAACGGAGGCCTTATCCACGAAACCGGAACTGATCAAGTGCTTCTTCTCTTCTATTAAGATCAAGAGATTTTTCAATCGCCTAGGGTTTTTTTTCTCCTCTTGAATTGATTTGTACGGGAAGAAAGATGTGGTTTTTCTCTCTCGCTGAAAAATGACTTTAATTTTTTTATTTAAATTTGAGCCATAAAATTAAAACGGCCATTTTGCTGATTTTTTCTATTCATTAATATATGTGCATTTTCTTTTTATTTTTCTTTTTTTTCTGGACTTTAAGGACAAAATTGATGTGTTAAAAAATATTGTATACCAACTAGAAAAACTAACTATAAATTACTACATGTTTTAAGAAAAAGATTATAGATTGACGAACAAATTGTAATTTTTTTTTTTTAATTCAGGTTTTCTTGGGTCATGACTTATCATTGAAGTAAGAAAAGTAGCTATTTGCAATTTAATTTTATTTTTTCATATGATTAAAAAAAAAGATTTAAGTTTTCTGTCCAAACTGTTTTAAAAGTTTTGTAGACTACAGATTACGGATCACATGATGTCCTTATTCTGCATAGTATAAATTAAAATTTATAAATTTACAGAGTTCATGTACCCGCCTGATTTTATCCGTAAGTACAGTCATATAACCTTTGAAAATATAAAATTTTCAACATATGATAGTAAATATATCTATAGAAATTTTGAAATATTGTAGAGAAAAATGACTTATACCAATATATAAACAAATAATTTTCTTGGCATCTTTTCAAGTATCGAAAACAAATAATAGTTTGTTCTTCAATTAAAGAACTCTTTTGAATTAGAGTTTACATATATTGTTCTCAGAGATCCATTATTTAAATGTCAAATGGTTTTCAGAGTTGGATAAACTAAATTTAAATATTGCACAATTTTTCACATAAAATGAAATCAAATAAAAATAAATAAAAAGGCTCGTATACATAGACAGGTAAAAAACTTTGGTTAGATTTTACATAAAAAGAAAAAAAAAATCAAAACCCCAAACAAATCCCATGTATAAAAAAAAAACACTATAGGCTCAAAAAGAAGGTTCAGGATGAACAGCAGAAGCAGCGGCGTTATTAACGTGAAGAGCTCTTTGAAGTTTCCGGTGATCGAAAACTTCAACTCCAACGTTAAATATCGAAGTCACCGGCCGGTGATCGGACATTTTTATCTCCGACCTCTTATAACACTCTTGTCTTATTCCTTTTCCCAACCATAATATTCTATCACACCTATTAATAACACCAAAAAATAAACTCTTTAAGAGTCACCCAAATTTTTTGAAAATTACCCCATAAATTTTCAAATGTTCAATTTAGTCACTTACCAAGCAGGAGCTCTCTTCTTCTCTCCTTCTCTCAAGTTTTCTCCGGCGTAACGATCTGAATCGAATTCGTATTTATAGGTCGGAGGGAATTTAATCGGTCCTTCTCTCCATCCATCGAAAACATGCCCTCTTCTTAGTTCTCTAATCAACTGTTAAATTAAATTGAAAATTTGTTTTAATAACTTAACATAATAGTCTAATAGATGAAAATAAACTTAACAAATTATTGTCAAAACTAAACATAATCAAAAACCGAACCTGATCACTGTTCTTGAGCTCATCCCATCGTTTTTGTGCGACAAGCTTTCTTACTTCACTGTCTGCCATATTAAGTCGGTAGTTCAAATCTCCGAACCAAAATACTTGACTGTTGAACATTTCCGACATAAAAATTCAATTAGTGCTTTGTACAAGACTACAAGAGAAAACGTTTAATGCTTTGTGTTTTGTAATCTTGATTATTGCTTACTCGTGACATGGAATCGTTCTTGGTTGATCAGTGTCAAGAACCGAGGCGAAACGAGTCCGACGTATGATTTCGTACACGTCAGCGTTACGGCGTTGCTCAGCACCGTCTTTGTGGCCGGAAGTTAAGTGTGAACACACAAAACACATACGTGATTGATATAGTGTCATACTAATCGACACTGATCCCTGCAAACATATCAAATATATTAAGAAAGTGTTAGAATTTTTTAATATTGGGGTTACTTGGAGAGGAAGATAGGGTTAGTTTTTTTACCTTGTTTCCCATGTAACCCATCAAGCCAACTCCGACCGGTGAGACTTTCAAGTTGTTGACGTGTCTTCTTAACCGTCGTCGGATCCAAACCGATACATAGATCCCAACCATCTGTTTACTTACTATCCTTACATACTTTTGACTATCTTTCACTTTCCGACACTCCTCCACCAAATCTTCCGGTAATCCATAACTATTTCCAATCTTGTCGCCATCCTCCACGTCCTCGGAAGAAGAATCTCCGTCTGATGAATCATCATGCATGATTTTTGCAGCTTCTTCCGCTTCGGACGAGGAGGATGAACTATTATCAATATCTTCTTTAATATCATTCCAACTCAAGTTTAAAGTTTCAAAGCTCCGTGACCGTTTCAAGTGTCTTGCTTCCGAAGCAAATCTACTAGCTCCTGATGGATTCTCCGGTAGCTTGAATCCTAGCGTCGCGTTGCTGCTAAATACCCTCCTTAGCTTCCCCTCTGATCCAACTATCTGAGGGTTGCTATCTAAAGCTAGTTCCGGCCAGTCCATGTTCGGATTCCGCTCTGGTTCAAGGCTCGGTAAAGCGGTTGCAGCATCGATGAACTCGTTTGTAGCTAAGTCCAGCGAGTGGTCCGCAACTAGATTCTCGACCATGACATCAGAGATAATAGAGTTTGCTTCTTGTGCTAAATTAGGAGACGAAGGCGCGCTGTGAGATCTATGAAGAAGGTTGTTATTGCAGCTTGGTGATTGATCATCGACTGATTCTTTATTGGATTTGTTCAGTGTTCTACGGATTATCGATTCCCATTTCGGAATCGGACCTCTATCTTCTGCTCCAAAAACGTTTCCGGCGTTTAATGGAACAACTTCTTGAAACCTAAAACATATTTTACATCAATAAAGACATATAGATTCATCAAAACAGAGGAAAAATACTCTGTTTTTGAATTAAAAGAAAAAAAATAAGAGTGAATTTTTTTTGAAAATAGTAAAATTTGAAGTTACTTTAATAACTTACCCGATGATGTAAATATCTGAAGGATTATCAGTAGATAGCCAATCTTCAATCTCGAGATCATCGGAGGGACGTTTTCCGGCGACGTTCCATGTAGCCACCGTCACTCTATAAATCAATATCACCATAAATAAAGTCAGAGATATATATTTCACCGGAAAAACAGAAATATGAAATTCCAGAAATACCCTTACTTGATATCCTTTGTGTTAATGTATTGAGCTCTCAAAGTCTCCGATTTACCTCGCCGGTGTTTCCTCTGGTAACCACCCCTCACACTCACACCACCATCTAAAGGATTTCAAAAAATAATAAAAATAAAACCAGAAAAACTAAATATTAGAATTCGTCTGTTATTTTTATTTCTGAATTTTTCTGATACAATTATTCAATAAAAAAATTTCCAAAAAAGAAATAAGAATCTTTGCCTGAAATAATATTGCCGTGATCAGCTTCGCTTCCTCGACGACCATTATGGCTGTCTTCATCAGTTACACAGTGAACATTAGGGACGTCTTTGACCGAACATACTGTTAAAGGGACCCAACAAAATCAAGATTAAAAAACATGAAATTATAGACCAAATTTGACCTAAATTTAAAGATAAATAATACTAATACTTACCATCGTCTTCGCTCTCAGGCTCTGTATCAATTTCGTCTTCGCTAAAGTCGTAAACTTTAGGCTTTATGTTCAACCATTTATTCATCACAATCGATGGCCAAAATCTCTGTTTGACATCAAAAACAAGAAAACATCAGAATCTTTATACTCAGTGAGAATTAAAGAAACAAAAAAACAGAGAAGAGAATCTTGATCTTGTGTACCTCAGGACGTTTCCCTCGTCTAGTTTTCATCTTCTCAGATCTCAGATAAAGATTGTGTTTATTTGGGAGAGTTTCGAGGAGAATTTGAACAGAGGAAAATGTCAGAGTTTGATATTTATAATAGTGACAGAGAGTTATAGAAGAGACACGAACCAGAACAAGAACAAGAAGAAAGACACAAAAATAAAAGTGGAGAATACAAAACAAGAAGACGTGTGAAGGCAAAGGCAAAAGAAAAAAAAAGGTGTAATGATGAAAATTCTCTGATATTATTTTTGGGTTCGTTCGAAGAAAAGCTATGGCTGTTATTTAACAGCCATCGTTGCCCGTAAAGAACCAAACTTCAACTTGCGATCCACTTTATTTATATAATAATTTGATTTATTTGGGGAAGACATATTAAAGAAAACTATAAAGACAGTCAGATTTAATTCTCTGATTTCTTCTTTATCACACGTGTTTTCGGTTTTTGGATATATTCGAACCGACCTTGGTTATCTCCATTCGGTTTTACTAGACTGATTGTACCGACCATACCGAATTTTAATTTATGTTTTCTTCATCTCTTATGATAGTGGTATTTAATCTGAGAAAATTAAGGTAAACCGAATCACACATAAAATTTTAGTTCATATAAACAGTTTTTTTTTTCCCGTATATTAATTAACTGAATCAGCAAAGAAAAGGCTGGTTAGAAATTTAAAATATATTTTGACATGCAGTTTTGCTGAATGTAAGTGATCATTTGAGAATTAGTTTTGCTAATTACTTTGATCTGACTTTTAGCTAATGGTTTGCTTAAACCAAAAATCTAAAACACGTAAACCAAAACCAACCAAAATCCGATTCAACGCTGCTATCTGGATAATATTAAATAATCGATCGGTCTTTTTGGTATATAAAAAAGGTCAAAATGTCACTTTCCTAGGCAACAAATATATGGGATTAATTTTTGGGTCAATAAAATTTAAAACCATAAAAGAATAGTTTATTAGTTTTGTAGCATTAATAATTTGAAAATCAAGTACGTAGGAAAGAGAAAACAAAAGTAAACCATAAATATCCTTCCCATTTAACTTAATTACACAAAATGCCATTGATCTAATAAATTATTTTCCGATGTAATATACCGGTTACACTGTTCATGAACCGCTCGCTGACACTGTTCATACAAGACCGATAATACTATTCATCAGATGATATAGTTAAACATTTGTTTGTTTAGTGTGTAACTATTTGGTTAACATGCTAAAACATATGATATCACGATAAATTTACATATTATCTGTTAATTACATGTTTATCGATTTAAATTTATGAATCAGTACTTTTTATTTATGTATATATCAGTTCAATAAAAAATAATTAGTCTTTCTGTTACATCATCAACATGATATAACAATTATAATAACATGTTATATAGAATGTTAACGTGCTAACATATTTAATATCTGAATAATATTTATATGAACATGATAAGATAGTCGATATGGGTAATATTTATATTAACGTGTAACTCATATATAATATATGCCAATAATAATTAATAACAATGTTACCCTGATAACAATGAAAATAATAAGTTTTCTCACTTTATAGAAAGCTTACAAAACAATTACAGTGGCGATTTGCTTTTTCACCGCCGCAGATGCCGAAGATGGAGGATTCGATTTTGCCGATCAACAAAATTTGATTGGCCATTGTAGATCTGGTTCTAGCGATACTTTGCCAACAACTTTGAGGATTTTGGATTTCAAATTCATATGAGGCATCAAAGATTAGTGGATAAGAGTTGGTATGGTGGCTTGCCAGAGATGGGACGAGTTTGATGTTGGTGCTTGTGACGATCGATTGATGCGTCGGAGCTGCCCAGAATCGAAGAAGAAAGCAACGATGAGAGAGGTTTCACAAATATCTACACAATTATTTTGTAAGGTTATGTATGTCAATTTACACCAGCACAGTAAGCTACAATAGTACATAAATGTGTCAGTTAATTTTGGATTCGTCTGAGGTCAGATTGTGGTAATACCCTTAATTTTTTCAATACGAGTCTAGCTCCAGCTAATATTTTCAGCCATACAGTCGGCGAATAGATAGATTATCTATTTGACTAATGTTTCATTAAATAATATTATACGAAAAAATAAGGATCCCTCACATTTTAAGAGTCTTATAATTGCCTAGTTCTTTTCTTATTGTCCATATCTTTTAAATGTTATGTTTCAAACTTCAAATATTTTTAAAACTAAATTATATTTCCAAAATCCAAAACAGGTGAATTTGATGGATATTTACTCTAGTGAGAAGATTGGAAATATCGAGTCCAATATGTGGTATGGAGATCAGGAGATATAGAAATGTTAATTTCCGACAGCACATTTTAATTTATTTTACCAAGAAATATCTAATTAATCACTGAAGATTATTTCAACTAAACATAATCATTATCATAACCTAGGAAGCATGGAAGCTTCATCGATGGTCCGCTTCCCGCTTCGGAATCTTAATCGGAATCGGAAGCTCTTGGAAGGTTTTGGAATCTCGCTTCCATAACGCTTCCAAAAAATCTACTTTGGAAGCTCGTTGGAAACTTATGATTCCATTTTAGAAGCTTCTGTTTCCATTTAAAAAATTTGAAACTCACATATTAATAAGAAACATGAAATTATTTTATACTCCCTCTGTTTCATATTATAGAATGTTTTAGACATTTTATTTTGTTTCACAATATATGATGTTTAGGAAAAACAGTTCAAGTTTCTATGCAAAAAAATTAAATTGTATAATTTGTGACTATTTAGATTCTGCAGTAAAGCATATCATTGGCCAAATTATCTTTAACTATTTATTAAATTATGTTTTAATGTAAAATATCTAAAAACTAAAATAATTAATTAGTTTCTTAAACTTTGTGCTTTTAGGTAAAACATCATATATTTTGAAACAGAAGGAGTAGTGTTTTTTACAATTAAAAAAAAAAACAAAACTAATTTTGCAATTTAGAATTTTTGCATACTAATTTCTGTATTTTATTTTTAAAAGATCTTAACAAAATAACCACGACATGAATCATTTATTTGAAAAATGTTGGAATGATTAATTGATTTAAATAAATTTTGAGAAACTTGAATTTGATGATGTTTTTATCGATAAAACAGAATTTGCAACCATTTTATTGGATGGAATTAAGAAAATGAGAATGAAAAAAGTGGTCTAAAATTTTGACTTTTAACTATTTTAATTTTATTTATTGTAAAAATAAACTATTTAGTTTTTATTTGTAGTGGAAGTATTGAAAATGTATGTATTAAATTTGTGTGGTTAATTATATATATATATATATATATATATATATATATATATATATATATATATATATATATATTTATATATAATAATTTCTATACACGCTTCCAACATGTACCCATTTCCTAAAATTTCTAAAAAAATCGCTTCCACGTTTCCAAACGCTTCGCTTCCGCGTACCCGCTTCTGATTCCATGCAACTTAGATCATAACAAATTGACGCGTTACTTAAAAAAGAACTGACGCCCATGCAATGCAATTGAGGACGTAACGACTAACGAGGGTCATTAGGAAAGTTTCGGTTGACCCTAGCTACTTCATTAAATTAGTTTGATTCCTAAATTGTGTTAATTAATTAGTGGACCTTAAAACAAAAAGCGGACGCGACGACGCTTGTTGACCATAAAAATATTTAATGGGATAATTTTTCTTACCAAAATAAAGTTGAAGTTCAGTGGGTAATATAAATATATTTACTTATCATCAACTAGAGCGACGGGATAACTAATACTTAGATATGTTAATTTTTTTTAATTTAACTGTTGTCTAAGGTTTACTTTAAATTTACTTCTTATCTTTTTTATATTTTTGAAAAAAAAAATCTTATCATTTTGCTATTTTTGTTTACTTAAGAGATCGTTTGTTGTTGATTTATCATCAATATAAACCATTACTATCACTACACAGGCTTATACATAGATTAATGGCTGCTTCTAGACATTTATAGACAATTTTAAACTTCACGGTTATACAGAAAAAAAAAAAACCAAAAAACAAATTTATACAACAAGGATTACCACTTTCCAAAATATCGTGTCCTTAGATATTTTTAGAAAGAGGGTAACTTTTATAAAAGGTTAAACTTTAACACAAGAAACAAACTTTTATTAAGACATTCAATTTAAAACGAATAATTAAATTTAAATTGATCAAGTCGGTCAGTCGAAAACATTCAAAATGTGAGTTTTCTATCGTGATATGTAACATATTACTAATGAAGTAATTAATACATTGAAATTTACCAAATCCAACACAAATATTAGATACGATTGGTAGGCCGGTATAAAGGTACATATGGACCACATACCTGTACGCGCACCCATTAATATGGAAACAATTATTCCCTAATTAGCTGTATTGTTTATAACTAACTCGAAATTTATTGAATATTGGTTATTTCAAAAATTTAAATGAATCATGCCGTAAGAAAGTTTTATAGTAACGTATAGACAAAATAAAAAATATTTATAACGCTGTCAATGTCATTTGCTTTCTTCAACATGCCAATAGCATATCAACACGCAATTTATGCGAATAATCCACTTTGTATTTTTATTAATTTTACTTCATTTTTAACTACTCACACAAATCATTATCCTCCAACTACCAAGCTACAAATCAGACAGGTAGTGTACAAATTATCACATAGTTATAATATTTCTCCAAAGTATCGATTGAACAAACTATTTATAAATATTTTAAATATCTATGTTCGATTCATATGCGAAGAGATTTAATATTAATTCATATGTTTAGAATTTTTAGTGATTTGATAGCGGTTCATATGTTTAGACTTTGTCGCGCATTTTGATAAACTTTGTTAAATATGAATTTAGGATACTGAATCAATATTTGATTTTGTGTTTGTAAGATTAAAATTTTCAATTGACTTAACGAGGAAATTCCTAGAAAATATTTTCCGAAGGAACTGATCACATGAGGAACATAAGAGTATAAATTATCTTTCAAATTCAATGTTATGTCAATGGTTGAAACAACAACTGGTTTTGATATGTGGCAACATGTTTGTGACTCGGTACTAAGTATTATTGCAAAGTTTCATTGGTTAAAATTAGAGTGATGCTCGAGGTTGATCCATTAATTACTATATCCACTGAAACATGTGTCTACAAAAGACATATGAGAAATGCATGGTTTTTGCTTTGTGGAAATCAAAACTCGGTTCTTGTTAACTTTGTTTATTAAGTTTGTTGAAGTCAGATGCCTAAATTGTGGTGAAATTACTAATAGTTAGACAATAAAAGATGTAGAGGAAAAGAAGTAGTAGTAGGAACAGATAAAAAATTGGAAGAAGAAGGAAAAAGTTTGACCAGCAAAACCTAATTCGCAAA